AGACCCTTGTAACTGTACTACATAAATAAACTACTATATAAAGTACCCGAATGGAAAAAATATGTTTTTGTCGTTTTTTTCTTGTCCTCTCAATAACAGGAATATTTCCCTTTTTATCTAACGAAAAATCCTTCGACAAAACAGCAATAAACCCACCTAAGTCAGTAACTTTCAGAATATGTCACAAGATTCTCCAAAGAAGCTTCCTTATTTCATTTACCTTTACAAAACGATTGCCCCTGAGCGAGGGTTTCTTTTTTTCTAGAACTTGTGTATACATTAGTATGTAGGTAATTGTCTCAAAACCTGGTTGCCAATTAAAACGTGTAAAAAAATTGTTACACAAAATATTCACTCAGAAAAGGGCTGGTTCGAATTTCTGACGACCGCTGTAATATTCCAGTAATTTATCTAAATTACGTTGTTTTCTCTACATACGAAATTAAACTTTGCATTTATATATGTGTGTCAATTTTTTAGTTTTAGAAGGTTCAATGAATTATTAATTTTCAGTTTTGCATGCGCCATAGGCTATAATTGTAATAAAAACTAATCGAGAATAAAAACATTATTTCAAAAATTATACAAACAAAATTCACTAGACGATATTGAACCAAACACGGGACGAATATTGCGAACAGGCCATCGTGAAATTCCCACGTGTATTTGCCGTTTCGCCATATTTACGGCACAAACAGCGGCATCTGCAATGCGCGGCTTTGTTGGAGTGCCCGATGTTTTTTTGCAGTTTTTATTGCGATAAAACTTGCGAGCGAAAGACAATTAAATGGGAAATTGTTGAATTTTTAAAAAATTGTATTCATATCGTGACCGAATGTATGATTGACATTTTGACATTTGGTAACCCTGTCAAAATAAAAATATTTATTTATTTATTTAAAAATTTATTGTTTACACCCCAAAATAAGGCCAAACAAAAGGCAAACTTAATGCTAATAAGCATTCTCTTCCAGTCAACCCTGGGAGTAGTGAAAAATTTGACGTAGGTGCACAACAAAATCCGAAATTCTATTTTGAAAAGATAAAATAACAACAAACATATTTCATAAATATACTAAATGCAAACATGCATACTATAAACTATTAAGTACATAATATATTCCAATACCTACATAAATACTATATAAATATATGTCAGAGGTTTCATTGTTAACTAGCCACGCGCCTCCGCTCTGCGAATTTATTAATAAGTATTACCCTATAAATATGTCCCACTGCTGGGCAAAGGTCTACTCTGTACAAAAGGCATAGTACACCACGCAGCCACACTGTGGATTGGCGGATTTATATCTTCGAAATGTTTTATTTGGTCTTTGATATGTTGGTTTCGAACTTTGCCAGCTTTTAAGATAACAAAAATTTTCCATAAAAATCGTCATTATAAACAATAAAAACCTGTTGGCTACATTTACCCTGTTTTGGGAAAGGTGAAAGCTTTTTGATATTCAAAAAACTATAATCGTTTTAAAATATTTTTGTTATTTTTATTACACTTAGTGTAAGAGCAACATAAGCTTACTACATAAATCGCTACTGGTTTAAATTCTCCATACAATCCTGCGTTAAAACTAAAATTCTTAATAAACTATAAAACAAGTATGCACCACAAAGTAATAATATGCATCACATGCGGACTTCCGGGCTTGAGGAATTATGTGAAGTCGACCCAGTATATAGTTCACATATGGCGTGCGCCCCATTGAAGGCCTCACAATAAGGACAAAGATGCACGAAAAATAATTATATCTTATATGGTTATTTAAATATTTCATTGGTGTTATTGGCATATAATCAATCAGTAAGCCAACTTCCTTTCTTTTATACTAAGTTGTACCTTGTCTTTAGATTTGCTAGAAATTTCCACGTCTTTATTTTTCTTGGCACAGATGGAAACCTGTGCAGACTTGTTATTTGTCCAGTTAACGAAAAACCTCGCTTCCTATAAAAAGATTAACTACCAAAACAGATAAAAAGATTGCCCAGAAATCATTTCCACCACATTATTTATATACTTTTATACAAAAACATTATTAGTCAACATAGGCTAATAGAGTAAAAATTTCGATGTTACGGTCCGGGGCAAGTCTCAGCAGTAAGTACTTTTTTTTTCGTTTTTCGTATTCAATTTGTGCATAAAGAGCTGTCCCTTTCTACCTAATAGTGATGAAGAAAAGAGACTTAATTTTAAATACTTAAAAATGAGTTGTAGTTAAATTTCAAGATTCTGTTACGGTTCTTCATCTCTAAAATACTTAAATGGAGCTGCTAAGAAGCTGCAGCTATAAATAAACTAATAAACTCTTCTAGATGGACAAAAAACTAAGAATACTTTTTAAGTCTAGCAAGTTTTGTAACTATAACTTTAACCACATACCGCCTCCAATGCTGTCGTAAATTCATGTCTTAAAGCGTGCAAATGTTCAGGGCGTGTTTGCCATGCCGTTTATGGAGTTTCACTAGGAATTTTCCGAGCGTTTGTTTAAGCAATATTTCTTGGTTCTACCCTGTGTTAATTTAACACTGCCCTGACTGAATGTCCGGGATTTTCATTAAAATAACAGTGATCCTTCTGTATTAGGAAGGATTACGAAAATAGTATCACACTTTTAAAAAATACCATATAGTACCATACATTACCGTACCATATAGTACCGTACCATATAGACTTACTCGTAGGCTTTTAAAGTTCTGTTTTTTCTAAAACATCAATTCATAGATTTACTTTTATCTGCATCCCAAAGTAAGTTTGTTGGGTTCATTAAACAATGAAAAAATAAAATAAAAAAAGCAGTATGTTATTGTGCTTTGTACTGAACATAAATTTTTAATTTTAACAAAGTTATAAAACAATTTAGTATGCACTCAAAAGTTTAGCCTTTCTTATAAACAAGTAGAGCTTACTTTATAACATTTTTCGCTAAATATTTTCTTAATTTTTAAGTAAAAGTTTTTTAAGAGCAACTGACATAAAGTGTCGTCGGTTGAAACAATGTGCACTTTATAGACTTTAAAGATCACTTAAATCTTAAATATATTTCTATCACTATTTCCGGGCATGAGTCCCGGAGCTATTGAAGCTAAGCATCGTTCAAATATTAAGAGAAATGCATAGTTAGCACCACCGGCTTGGAATACCATCGTAAGTGTCGTAACATCGTAAGTCCTTATTATTATCCTTAATAATATTATAAACTCGAAAGTTTGTATGTATGGATGGATGTTTATTACTCTTTCACGCAGATACTACTGAATGGATTTTAATGAAACTTTACAATAATATTATAGTTTATACATCAGAATAAAACATAGGCTATAATTTATAAACATATTTTACGTATATCTGTCTTTTTGTCTGAATGTTACGCCTTCAGCCTATTCTACGCAGACGTAGTCGCGGGCAGCAGCTAGTATCGTAGAATCATAATGGAATGCCCAAGAGACGACAGGACCCCGGTCTCCATCCCACACGGGTAATTGGAATTCTACCGACTTTGTTGCTGGGGGATATTGGGACCATCCCACCCCACCCCATGGGCTCGGCACAGCCGTTTTTGAAATGCCTTCGCATACCTGACCGCCAGCGGGCAAGGGCGGGCTATGTCGCGTCGAAATATGACTCGCACCGACTGAAACCCCATTATGTTCCACCCAGAGCGCATATTGGCAGGGACACGGGGATAGTTTCGAATATTTCCGCGATCTTGTCATTGCTGGCCGCCACAAAACTCCTCCATTGGATGCAACCCCCTTCCTTCGAAATAAGGTGCGGTGGAATATAAAGCGCACCTACCTTGGCCTCTAATGGGCAGCCAACTTTACCGAGCCAGCTGCCCAGAGGCCATGGAAGCTGGTAGAACCACTACTATACTCCGATTTTCGAGGAATACGTGGGTTCAATTCCTGCAGCGGCGAAATAGTGCCATCCATTTTTTCTACAAATTTTAATGATCCATCTTAAATGCAGAGATTAGCACTATAAGTTGATGAAAGTTTTAAAACATTATACATCTAATTTTCATATGTAAATTCTGTTAGTTTTAAAAAGTCATGATTGACAACCTTTTCCAAAACAGCTTTAAGTAGAAATAAATTAAAAAGTGAAGTACCTAAACCTTAATAACGAAATTCATTGATATTCCATTAACGCTTTGAAACAGCGATTTTGTCATATAATGTTCTTCAGAAACAAAATCACATGTTTTAAGTAAGTTATCAATTTTTTGGGAATTGCATTAGTAATACCTATATGTAGTAAGAAGTATGTTTATGTTGCTTAAGTAGCAATACGTCATAATTGACTCACCATTTTTATATAAAAACATGTCACCGATAAAATTTGTATATTAATAATATAAAATTTTTAGTACTTTCGACTGAATGCCAAGATTGTTTTAATGTCGGTAATATTCATATTGTATAGTTCGGTTTGTTATCGGGTGATACCAAATAAATCAAGGAGAAGCAATTCTCTACAACGTCTTAGCGCCGTAAAATCCTTAAAAAACAAAGCACCTTTTTTGTTAATTCAAAACGGTATCAATTAACTCCAACTGCTTTTGCTACAATAAAACATGGCATATCAATGACAAATAATGAAAAGCCAAAGAAGTTCATTAATGGTGATGTATTGATTAGCAATGAATCTTTGGCGTAATTGGTAAATGATGACAGTGCGGTAGGCTGCCTTTATATCATTAAAGCCAGAGACAAAATGGCGTGTTGAATTATTTTTATCACCATGCTTCTGCCGAACATGCGTGTAATTTCGGGATAAGACCTGTAAGTGATGCAGATTTACAATTAAGTGTAGCCTAGGATTTCGCAAAATAACCCCGACTTTAAGGACATTCACGTTGTTTAAAAGTAACGTCAACGCTTTCAGATTTTAAATTTAGTTTATTTTTGTTACAGATATGCGTTTCAAGAGGAATGGTGTGAGCGTGAATAATTGATATTCAAGTAAATAAGAAGAAATCAAGATGGCGGAGGCGGAAGGCGGAGCGAGCGAGCAGGATGATGTTTCATTCTTGCGGACGGTGAGGAAATTTAGTGGTGGTAGGACCACGCATAGTGGTGGTAGGACCACGCAACAGTGTTCAATGTTGCACGAATGGGCAGATCCGTCCGGGTAAGTACCACGACCTCACAGAAGACCGGAGTAAAGTAGAAGTGTTACACTTCTGCTCGAGTATCACTTAACATCAGGTGAACCGCCAGCTGGTTTGCCACTTTCTCACATGAAAAGAAAACACTATTATCGTTATATCAGTTTGGTAGGGCCACGCAAGAGCTTTGTCTGGTGCAGTGTTTGAGTAATAAAAAAGTATTGATCAAGTTGACGATTAAGTTATAAACGACTATTCTATTAGAGTTAAACTCTTCTTTTATCATAAATGAATCTGGAAAACTTCTGAGCTTGGGAAGAGGCTATAGCTAAGGTAACTTACTTTAACTAGATTGTAAGTATTTTTTTTTGGTTTTAAATATGACACTAACGTTGATCTCATATTATATATTTTGTAATGTAAAAATCTTTTAGACATGATATTCGACCAGTTCCGACAATTTGCTGTTGTAGACGATAAATAAGACTTTCTTGAAATAATTATGAGCCCTCCACCTTATCTCAGCATCTGCAGTGGAACTTATTTACAAGGAACCCTCGCTGTGACCTTGACCCGCTAATCCAATAACGAAGACGCCTTTAAGCTACATCCGCTTTCCCAAATGCGAAAATTTTATTTTATTCACGTTGGCCGACGGCAGAGAGCCGTGATAGCTCAGTGTCCGGGCGCTAGCCTTTAATTCAATATACTCGAGCAACCTGAGTTCGATCCACGGTACCAATGAAGTTTTTAACTTTAAGTGCAGTCTTATCAGTGCTGTTCGTGAGGAAACCTGCATATTTTCGAAATAATAACAAAAAAATAATATTACGAAGATGTGTGAAGTCCGCCAATCTGCCGTGGGGTCGCGTGGTGGACTATGCCCTGATACCCTCTGTATAGAGGAGGCCTTTGCCCAGCAGTGGGAAATGTATAGGCTGTTACTTTACTTTTTTTTACTTTACGTTGGCTGATAACTTTGGGTTTTATTGAAACTCTTTAAATTTGCTGGTAACTCGTTCTGCTCTGGTGTTGTAGTGTTTATCTTCCATGTTTGTCTCTGTTGTTCTATTAGGGAAACATCCTATACATAACCCACTGTTGGGTAAAGACCTCCACTATATAGAAGGTATTAGAGCACAATCCACCATGCTATTACACCGCGTGTTGGCAAACTTCCTTCATCACTTCAAACATTTGTTTTATTATTATTTCGAAAACATAAAGGTTGTTTTCTTTCACATATGAGCCTGTGATTTTTGATTATGATAATCATGCATGTACATATTTTTTTTAATTTCATCATAAAATAAGTTACAAATAACAAAAATTTCATTGGTGCTGGTACTGGGATTTAAACTCTGGTTGCTCGACCATATGGAATTGTAAACGAAATGTCCATGGGCGGAGCTTATCCTTAACATCACCTGGCATCTGAACATAGATAAACACAATTTTACTGCTACCACTAATTGTTGTTATTCCTAAATATAAACTTTTGGTATTAAAATTTTTAGGTACTTACAAATATAAAATTGGCAAAAATCGTAACAAACTGCGCCAACTGATATCCATTACTTACGCCCCCGGTTTCTGAAACGCTGATCATCGTAGTAGTCAACTAATCAGCTGTCAAATGGCTTTTCAAATGTTTTTTGAGTTGCCAAAAGGATTGTTAAACTCTCTGAATTGATCAGAATGATCTTCTTAATGATAAATTCAAAGAGTTTTACCATCCTTTTGGCAACTGAAATAACATTTGAAAATCAATTTGATAGCTGATTATTTGATTTCTACGATGATCAGTGTTTCATAAACTGGGCGTGAATCTTTTAATTAAGAGATCGTCGAATACCGCGGGATCGAGACATTATTGAGATTCTAAAGTCTGTGTGCACACAGGTTTATCTATTTTGGTTCGCTTCGAGTGAGTCAGGCCTGGGATTTGGCACTTGTGTAGACGGATGTCTTGTACCGGCATATTTATTTTTGGACGCTTCTGACGTAGTTACTGTATTACGGTTGTGCTTGGTACGGCCACAAACCTTTCGGGCTTAATTTCACAAATAATGATCATACCCTTTAATTGGTGACTTATAGAACCATAAAATCTTATAAAATTCAGTCTGCTTAGTCATGTATTTGTTGTTTAAATACAAGTGTATCGTAAAATTATATTATTGGCATATATTGACATTTGAAAAGCCATTTGACAGCTCATTAGTTAACTTCTGCGATGATCAATGTTTCAGAAACCGGGCTTGAATGTAATACATTGGCCAGTATAAGCTGATAGATATCAAAGCTCGTTGTTATAAAGTGAGATATGCAATTTATAAGAGACGTTCCCTTCAATTGGGTTTCTGATGCTGGAAGTAGTGCTCAGTGAGCGTGAACTAATAAACTAGGCAAATAAAGAAGAAGTGTCTGAATTATTTCAATCAATCTGTCTTCTCTTAATCGGCTGCTACCGGACATGAAAGTATTCCGTAGTAGCTACTAAATTTTCACCCCTTAGTAAACTTGCTTTGAATGCGGTAGAGATTCTGCTGTAATACGGAAATAACAACTTGTAAGAGATTCTCCTGTTATACAGAAATTTGAACTTTATAATATACTAGTGACTCGCCCCTGCTACGCACTGGTAACACAAATCTGTAGATTGCTTAGTCCATCTGTTTTCGGGTCCATTAGACCAGACCGCACAAAAGTGGGTCGTACAAATACTTTTCGCGTGCGGGAATCGAACCGACGACCCCTGACACCGAAATCAATACCTTAGTAACTGCGTAAACAAGTCAAGTAAGTATGATGTACAAATTATATAAATTTCCTAGCGTACTTCGATAAGTACTACTTGAGAAGAGCTTTACCTCATTTTTTATTTCATCGAAAAGGTTTTCTGTTCACTATTAACGTTTACTTTCAAATAAAAAAGAAATATGGCACAGAATTTTGATACTGTAAAAATGTTAAGTATTACTATGAAAAGCCACGATTTTCAGTTAATAAGTAGTTTTCCGAATTGCGGTCAGTGAATTCGTATCCATTTGAATCAGCTACAAGTGTGCTTGGCATTTGAAGTGCATAGTACTTGCCTAATTTCGAGGCTGAATAAAAAATATAAATCCACGATCGCATACTTTCACTAGTAAAAATGGACATAAGTAAAGGCATATAAGTAAACTTTCTTCGCGTTTCGTCTGGTGAGTGAGGTGGCCGGAGCCAAGTTTTCAACAGGTTGTTAACACATCTGGAACCATCGGGTGTAGCAGATGTCCATGGGCGGCGGTATTCACTTAACATCAGGTGAACCGTCTGCTCGCTTGGCAACTTTTCAAATAAAAAAAAACACTTTTTAAGAGTTAAAATCCTGACATCTAAAGACTGAATGTCACACCTGCCAAAGACATCGTTGTTTTATATTCCATCAAATAGGACGAATTGTAAGGTGTTCTATCGAGCTAGATTATTTAAATTAAACGACACAAAACTCGTAATTAAGAAAAAAGACAATATACTTGTCTCTTTGGCTTGCTCCCAATGCGACAGATTCTTGGAAAATATTGGATCGGTGACGACAATGACACAGACACAATAAACGCAATTAACATCAGACTATTTATATTGCATTCAGTTAATCTAACTAATGAGTGTCTGTTGTAAAATCTAAGATATTCTGAAAGATATAACACATTCAAGAAAGAACCAATGAAAACAATTGAAACACTTAAAAGTTTATTAACGAAAAGGGAAACAGAAAGCCTTTCCAATCTCGCAGTGTTAGGGCCGATTTATGGCTGAATTGTTAATTTCCTTTCTGCAGTGAAACGGCGATGGTTGGCCTCGATGGAGAGAGGTTTGAGTTTTAAATCTCTGTCTTATACTTTTGGTATATGATTTTAAATCTAATCACTTTACCTTATTTTCCTCTAACAACAGAATCAAACAGTTCTTTAAACATAAATATTTTCAGGACATACTTTTGAACGTTATCTACAACTTAAGCTTACAAGCGTTGTTATTTTGGAACTATCAATAATAAATATACGCAAAAATATTTTTGCAAACAAATACCTATAATAGATATACAAACCGCCAGACACTAGAAATGCTCATCTCGTACCATCATTTTCCAATAGTGTGGATATAACCCACACCGTCTGACTCCAGGGTTGGTAATAAAGTACAGTACTATGAAACATTAAATAACAATTTAATTTAAGTTTTATAGAATCAGTCAATGCAGAAAACGTAATGATTCGTGCTAAATTCTCTTTTATGTTAACTAAAAGGTTGAAGTTTCTCTAGTTTTACGCCTTTAATAAGTTAAGAGAAGTTGTCTCTTAGTAGTAGTCTACTCTAAAGCTCTTTGAAACAACATTCTTTGTCGCCAGTGGGTCTTTGAATAGCATAAGTGGCTGCTAGTTGTTGTGCTTTCACACTAGGCCAATTTATAAATTTACAATATTATTTTGTATTATATGCGCGGTGTACATTATTAGACTTTGTACTATGGTTTTAAGGTTTCCGCTTATGTTGCGATGAAGCTTAAAGTTTACTACTAAAACTATGGACCGTAGCAGAAACCCGATATGTTTACCAATCAGATAAGTAGTTCGCTAAGTAAGAATAACGAAAAAAAATTAGAGCATGGTGACTAAGCATCATCAGCTGGACGTAGGCCTTTGTTAGTAAACGCAATATAACTCGATTTAGAGCCGTTAGCATCCAGTTGCTGGCAGCAATGTTACGCAAGTTGTCATTCCTGGCATAAGGGCGCTCGAATCTACGTTAGCCTAAACGCAAACCAAGTTGCTCCATCGGTTGTTTTTATTCCATCGCGATATTGATGAACATAGTGCAAGGTTTTTGATTTCGGCGAAATCAAAAACTTTCTCATAGTCCTCGAATGCGAGACATAGGGTCTGGTTATATTCTTCGGCTAAACGCGGCATAGCGATTGGCTTTATTCACAATGGCTTGTACTCAGTTTACCGCACCTACTTTATATGGTGACTTTCAAAACCAAATCATACTAACTAAGCAAATAGTGTTTAATTATAATACTTTTAAAATTTACGTACGTAATTTAATGGCTGTTGATTTTGTCTTCACTTTAACAGCTCACATGACCGTCTAGTGGTGTAATTAGTAATGTGATTATTCGACGTTTCGAATGCTTTCTCCTACAGCGAAGTTTTATCCGGATAATACGTGCAAAGTGTATATTTAAAATATCATTCTTACGGTTCACAGGAAGACATGGTGTGCCTGTCTTGCACGGCAACTGGTGAGAGGGTGTGCTTGGCGGCCGAGGGCTTTGGCAACAGGCACTGCTTCCTCGAGAACATAGCCGACAAGAACATACCGCCCGATCTATCGCAGTGTGTCTTCGTTATTGAACAGGTGGGTTTTTTGACACACTGAATAGTAATTTAAATTTTTATAGTGCCAACCTCTGCACTTTAGATTAAACATAAACATTTGTAGAAATGCTAAATTTGCTTCAAATGCTAAAAAACAATGTAGGTAAAAGACGTTAAGATTTTCGTCGGTGGGGATATCAACCGTTTAGCTTAGTGGGTAAAGCGTCAGAATGCCGAAGACGTGGGTTCGATTCCCACAACGGTGACAATTTTTTCGTACTTTTTCTATAAATTTTAATACTAAATAGTTTCACATGAGTCTCTTCTAAGTGCATACTATGTAAATGTGTTTGCATATGTAACATCCAACGCAGTTTTAAACCACTTCCGGAAATGGAAGTAATTGGGAATTTCGGAAGAATATTTAACATCGATGAATTGTTTTTCTTTCTTCTGTACTTATGCCACCTTGCTGAAGTCGGCAGAACTTGTATGACATGTTTGTGTAGGTATTGGCTAGGTTTATAACGAACGACCGCTTTCCTTATATGGGAATAAAACCCCAACCAACCATGACAACCCAATCTATGTCAAATAAGGTCATAAGCTTCTTTCTCCAGTATATTATATAGACTATAACCTCTGGAATATTGTACCCTGCAAAAGGGGAATGGATTTCTCAATTATGTTCAGTGGTTCGGGAGATTAACGCCCATATACACATAAAGTCAGAAAATATTTTACTTACAAGTCTCTTTTATTACTAGTATAAACTAAATAAATTACTTTTAAATTACTTTCTTCGGTAAAAAAAATAAGAAAATGTAAAGCTGACTTAGCACTGGATGTAGAGGTCATGCTCGCAAATTTAATGTTATATTATTTATTACTATTAGGTTCGCTGTTGGGAATCTTAATCTTGCATAACATTTAACTAGGGTAGATTAGAATCTTAGCTAGAAGTCTTGATTAGTATATTTCCCTAAATTGGTTAAAAATCGAGACGAAATATATAGTGCTGTCTACGTTTGGTTCCATCAATCTCGCAGTTTTAAAACGCGTGATTTAAATCTAGTTATTGTTAAATTTTGCCATTGTTTAACTTATTTAAAACATTTTTCAGGCGTTATCCGTCAGAGCGCTGCAAGAGTTGGTCACAGCCGCGGGTTCGGAAACTGTAAGTATTTTGAAAAAGTACATTTTATTTTGTAATATAAACTTTTCATGTGCATTTTATATCTGTTAAATTAACGAACTCGACTCCTTTTAAACTATACGACTTAAAATAATTTTCGAAGTGAAATAATCTAAACTGTCACTCTTAAAACATAATAATATCCTCAAAATGCGATGTAATGTTGTGACATGTAGTAACTAACATGGCTTTTCGTGTATTAAGTATTGTTTTGTGTAAATTGTATTTTTATTTATTATTGTATATAACATACATATATCGATGTATGTATATCGATACTTAACCGCGTTTCGAATGCGAATTTTAACTATGTGATATTTAATGAGTACTCGTATATGACTTCTTTATTACATGTTACAATCTTTCACTCGATTCTTCTCCAAACGGATTTGTAATAGCGAATCTGTGATTTTTTGAGGCTACACACCTTTTACGCCAGTTTATACCTCTTGTGTTTAACATGATTATGTTCTATTGTGAATAATATACCCTTTTACGTATTGCTTTCGTGTTTAAATTTTTCCAGGGCAAAGAGAATTTAGTAGTGAGTATATGCGAGGGATTTGGTAACGTCCTGCATGCATGTTTAACGACATTAAAATAAAAAAAATATATATATAATTCGAACGTTACTTTCCTCTGTCGTTTTTTGGTTTATGGTTACCATTGTATTTTTGCAGTTCAATTTTTCATATTTACTAACAAATGCCAGTTTCCTAAATTACTTTTAAATGTTTTTTAATAATTAAACGTCATTATTTAAATACGACTAAAGGCTTATCTATTATTAATAACATACGCATGATATATAGATAATATAAATAACCTGTTCTCTGCGGTCATCACAAAGATGAAAGCTAATCCGCTTAGATCCGCGATAGCTATCAGGATATTGAATTTAATCCGCGATTCGCATCTCTATAATTGAATTTGCGGATCTAATCGGATTAGGTTGGTCTTCTGCCATTGTCGTATGCCATTTTCAAATCTTCTCTTTCACTTTTTCGTAAAATAATTCACTTTTATTTTTCTTTCAAGGTATAAAACGCCAATAAAATTACTTATTAAACCAATCTGAACTATGTGTATTTACTTAATTACGGCAAAGTGTTTTAAACCTTAAAATTTTTAAAACGAACAAGATGTAATCTGTAAAATATTTTCCTATACAATGCTCTATATGTATATTACATTATAATTTCATCTAAGCCGCAATGAACTTTCCATAAAACCCAAAGGCTGTATAATTGATGGGTTTTTCAAAGTGCATTAATAACTATCATCAATGATGAAAGACCTACGATTTAGGTCATACAAGGTAGTCCACTTTAGTAATTGAATTTTTAACGATCGCAAGTACTCAATTAGCAGTGATGGCTCAAATTCTGGATCAAATTTATGTCGAGCATCTGGCCACTACCAGATGCTCGACGTAAATTTGATCCTGTTAGAACAACTGAAATTCTAATCCAGTGCTCGAAACCCACAAACTAGTTAGTTAGGTTAGCAAACATTTTTTCCTAAAGCTATTTTATTTAGGTATTTCATATACCTTCACTTGTATATGTACCACTTATTCTTTTTGTTTTAACGTGTGAAGACTTTTAACAAGTTTCTGTTAAATAATTGAACAGTAGACAAAGTTGGGAGTTTCTTCAAAGACGTTTCAGCGTGTCCTTTAAAGTTTTCAGCTATAGCGTTAAATTTTAAGTAAAGAACCAAAGACTGTAGAACGTAATCTCGTCAAGTTTGCGGTATTGTTCAAAAGCCTTACTTTATCTTCGGTATATTTTAGACTACTTTAAATATTTCTTGATACATTATGTATTACTTACGGTAAGTGGTCGGAAAGTAAAATATGATTGATTATAATACATTACTTGCTCTGCAAAATATATGATTTTAAACACAAAACCTGATTAAGATCAAGTTAATAAGGGCTTATTCATACAAGGCTTAAAGAATTTCGTCGGTGTGGCAATCAGCCGTTTAGCTTAGTAACTGGAGCGTGAAGGGCGCGAATCCCGAAGACATAGATTCGATTCCCACGGCGGCGAGAAACTTTTCGTTCCTTTTTTCTACAAAAATTTTAATGTATAATTTTAATCATACAAATTAGCACAACAAAAATTTAATTTTGTAAAAGGGCTTATTCAATAAATATACATTAGTAATAAGGAATATTTAATCTTATTTCATAAATTGTACTGTTCGGGGTTTATCAATGAATTGAAAATGTAAAAAACAACAAATTAAAATAACAAATAAATATCTAACAAAGTATTACATGAATACTGAAAACCATTTCATTTACTGCCTTAAATTCAGAGAACGGTTCGTTAATTCAATGAATACATTAGGTTTGTAAATATTTTATGGACCAAAAACTTATTATTCATATTTCAGAATATAAATTAAAAATACGTATTTGATGTATAATGTCGCCATTATCAAAAACACAATTAATTACGATTAAAATATTTATTATTTTACCTAAAATAAATTAAATGAAATTAAATCATTGAACAAGTAAATCTCATAATAAATGGAAATAAAAATTTCATATAACACTACATTAAAAAAATGAACATTTTCACTCAGCCCTAATAAAACAATAGCATGCCGTTTCCTTTTTGTTGTGAGTGGCATAATGTAAAAGAATGCTAATTAGTACTGTTCATAAAAAACTTATTTATAATACTTTAATCGTGTGGTCAAATTCAATTATTGTTACATTTGATTTAAGTTATTATTAAATTAAAAAAAATATTTGACATAATATTCAGCATTTACATAATATATAGCATGTATGTACATAAATAATTATATTAATTTAACTTAATTTATTATCTTTTTTTAAACTATTTTGCACAACAACTAAATGGTCACTTTCCGTTGGATAAGAGTATTCGAGCACTAATCACTTTGTAATAAAAAGAAAGAAGTATTCGTAGGTATCAACGGTATTAAATGTTATTGAACTCAATTTTTCTCTATTCAACTTCTAATCTATTCCATTTTGAAAATTCAGATGTTTTGCAGCAATGATAAACCGACTAAATAAAGAATAACCCTACATTATGTCCTATTTCAGGGAAAGGGCACTGGGTCCGGCCACAGGACTCTGCTGTACGGTAATGCCATATTACTGAGACATCTCAACAGTGATATGGTGAGTTCTCATCACTTTACTATATCTCCTTTTGACAATACCACGTCCTCGTTTATGTTCTGATTTGTCACGTGCTCAGCGGTGAAGGAGAAAACCGAAGGTATGTGAAGTCCGACAATCCGCAGTGGGGCCGCGTGGTGGACTATGCCCTGATACCCTCTGTGCAGACGAGGCCTTTGCCCAGCTGTGGGACATGTATAGGCTGTTTACTTTTACTTTTAAGTCCTCATTAGGCATTTTGAATATCTAGTTCTTCCCTCATAGTTACAAAACTTACTCTAACTGCGATGATAGATTGGATGCATACACACGCAGTAAGAAAATAAAATAAAATAAATAAATAAGAGATTTTGAAATAATATATTTAAAACGAAAAAGTTTGCTTTTAAGGTTTAAAAACATATATAGATTTTCCTTTGTTTGCCATGCTGTTTATGTGTGAAAATTAAATTTTAGGGACAATTTCGTTTTATGCTGTTAGTTTTTTTAAATATCCTATTAAATGCATTAGACTGGTTAAAAATAATGAGCTATCCACGACGCACAATTTTTTTTATCAGCTTTCTAAATAAGCCATTAAACTTATACACCGATTTACATTTCAGTATCAGACTATTAGTTTTCTACTTACAAGAAGAAGAAGGAAGTTACTTTTAATTTTAGGGAGGACGTATTTTTTTATGTGAAAAGTTGCCAAACGAGCAGACGTTTCACCTGATGTTAAGTGAATACCGCCGCCCATGGACATCTGCTACACCCGAGGGTTACAGATGTGTTGACAACCTTTTGAAAATTGGGCTCCGGCTACCCCACTCACCAGACGAAACGCGAAAGTATTTGTCATACTTCCACTTTACGCTGGTCTTCTGTGAGGTCGTGGTACTTATCCGGACGGGCCTGCCTATTCTTGCAACAGCCGAGGCTGCTGCGTGGTCCTACCATCGTATTGAAACTGAGGTTTATTTTAGTGCAAATTTTGTCTCTTAATGATTCTTTCATTTGGTTTTCTAATTCTTAATAACTTCTTTTATGTACACAAAGTTGACGGACCTTTTAAATTAAAAAATACGCTTTACTTAACTCTCGTTATCAAATAGTACTTGGCGTGTCTATCAACTTCGTCGTCGCAAGATAAGCTGGCTTTTGACGTCGGTCTGCAAGAGCACTCGCAGGGTGAGGCTTGTTGGTGGACTCTCCATCCAGCTAGTAAACAGAGGTAAGAAATGTTAATCTCGAATTCTTGGTGATGTGTTAACCTAGAACGTATAAAGTAACCTAAGAAATATAATAAAAGCCCACATACCTTAGTAGCTTGAAAATATATAGGAAAATAATAGACTATGTTTTTTACGCGATAATTACACAGTTCACCATAATTTATGTATGGCATTCTTCATTATTATGGCATAACTTCTGCTGTTTAAATTAAAAATAGAGTAGAGAGATTATACCGTTAATAAATTACTATATTTTTAGTAATGCAGTTTTTATGCTATGGTTTGTGACACCCGTTTCTTGTTTATTTGAAACTATAAGTCAACAGTTCCCAATAAGTATAAAACATTCCATATAAAACTCGGATATTCATATCATTATCCGTATTAGGATAACTGTGGTAGGGCCACGCAACAGTACTCATTTAACATCAGGTTAACCGCCCATGTAATATTCTCCCATATAAAAAATATTAACTAATATACCAGATAAAAGTAAGTAAGTCAATTGTAATTACTTACTAGTAAGCTAATCTATTAAATTACTTTCAGATCTGAAGGTGAAAAGGTGCGCGTAGGTGACGATTTAATTCTAGTGTCCGTCGCAACCGAAAGATATCTGGTGAGTTTTCAATTTCATCACAGTATTTGTTATAGATCTAAACAAACTCAAGGATGTTGATATTTATTTTCTGCTTTTATCTTTATCTTTATTGAATGATGTTTTCACTTAGACTCCGTAGGCTCTTAAAGATTCATCAAACGCAGAGCTCCCAGATGAAGCAGATTAGCACGAGCTAGTTACGCCGTCCATGGCACCTTTTATTGACAACTTTGTAGTGATTATTTCGGTGGTTGCGTTAGATTACCTTCACTGTGATGTTTTTAAAACAGTCTTTGGAGAAATGCTGACGATAGCGACGATAGCCAATAATAATAATTGGATGATTATCGGAATAATTTGAAATTTATTTGTTGGTAAACATAAAAAAGCGGTTTGAATATCTGGTTCCTAGTGGAACTAAATGCCGGACTACGAAATCCCTACTTCTCAAAACACCTACTCACTTCACCAAAAGGCGTGCGTCATTTCCTGTAAAGGCGGTCAAGTTATGGAATTCACTACCACATGACATACGTGCCAGCTCTTCCCTTGACATTTTTCGTAATAGAATCAAGAGACACTACTTATCTACTATATATATATATATATATATATTGATATTAAGTATATAGTTCTTGTATATTTTTACAATTACTCTGGTAAATTCTTTAATAATGTACACACCTTCACCTAATTATATAGTATTATAGCTTCGTGTTCTCAAGGGTCTGCTGGAAGAGAACTCTTTTTAGGGTTAAGCTCGCCTTTGTACATGTTTTTGTCATTTGTTCCGATTGTCTGTATTATAATTGTGTACAATAAAGTAAAAAAAAAAAAGTATCTTTCTCCTGTTCCCCAAATGATCGGATCATCATTGTACCGTTATTGTTGCAGCACACGACGAAAGAGAACGAAGTGTCTATCGTCAATGCGTCCTTCCACGTGACGCATTGGTCGGTCCAGCCGTACGGAACCGGCATATCCAGGATGAAGTACGTGGGCTACGTCTTCGGCGGCGACGTGCTGAGGTTCTTCCACGGCGGCGACGAGTGTCTGACCATACCCAGTACCTGGACGAAGGAGGGCGGGCAAAAGTGAGTTGGATCGGAGATCCGTTTGTCGTTATGACGGACGGTTGAGCGTGCTACTTAAACGAGAATGCACCACAGCTTTAGGTGAACACACAATACACACGTGTTTATGGGGGGCAAGAACGGACACACACAGTGTGTCCGTTGATTCGCTAATTCGTCCAATTTAATACGGTCACCTGCCTTCTTGAGCTGCTTATTCTTAGGCACTTTCTCTTTTAGAAAACAAATGTGGTGGTAAAATTTAATTTAAAGCAACTATCCCTCTAATATGTCTGTATATTTTCTAAGGGTATTTAATAGAAACGAGAAATACATCGAAATTCACTTGATTAAAAGTTATATTAATTTATTGGTTGAGCATATATCATATCATGCCTTAATGTATCCATGCTATTTGTATCGTATGTTTTCACTGTAGTATCTGCTGTTATATTTTTCCGTGCGAGTGAGAAAACTGCGCCACACTTTTGTATTGGTTGTGATGCATCTGCAACCCGTCAGGTGTTGTAGATGTCCATCGGCGGTAATCACTTAACATCAGGTGAACCGCCTGCTCGCTAGCCAACTTTTCGCATAAAAGAATGCGTATCAACTTAGAAGGTATTTGGTGGATAACACATTTTCTCTTTAATGTCTTTCAGTATCGTAGTGTATGAAGGCGGTTCCGTGATGTCACAAGCCCGTTCCCTGTGGCGCTTGGAGCTCGCCCGTACCAAATGGGCCGGTGGTTTCATCAACTGGTACCACCCGATGAGGATCAGGCACATCACTACCGGCAGATACCTGGGCGTCAATGACCAGAACGAACTGTACTTAGTAAGCAGGTGAGAGACGTTTTGTGGGATCTAAGAAGTTTTGTACAGAAAGGATGGCTACTGCCAGAATACGTTAACAAGCGTTATGTACTTACTGAAGTTTAATACGATTCGGGTGACCAATAAGTTAACAAAACTAGAGCCTTGTTTTCACGAAAATATAATTTGAAATTAATAATTGCTATGTTACTTATTCAGCGATTAATTTAAATATTACATATAAATTATGTTCATTTAACAAATATTTAAGTGAAGTAGCAAAATTTACGAAAAATAATGAATGATTTCGATATTCCGTCCTAGTTTTGAAAACATAATTATGTACTACTACTTAAGTAAGGCTTATAATAATTTACACACCTATATAGAGGTAACCTTCGTTATGATTCAAGGTTTTTCCGAAAGAATACTTTTCTTTGAGTTATGCTCACCTTTGTAAATTCTATTGTAATGTAAAACATTGACAACAAACACGTTTCCTTTTTGATTTATTGTAAACAACAATTTAAAAAAAATCCAGCAACTTTATTGGATGCAATTTTCTATATTAATAATAATATTCCTGATCTCATCGTACTGTGTTTATTGATTTCTTGTAATTACGCGAATATATGTTTATACATGGTTTAATGAGTTCATTTAACCAACCTCTGTGTAACAAAAATTCTATTCGCGTGCCTCAATAGAGAGGAGGCGACAACGGCCTCGTGCGCTTTCTGCCTGCGCCAAGAGAAAGACGACCAGAAGGTGGTGCTGGAAGACAAGGATCTAGAGGTCATTGGTGCGCCGATCATCAAGTACGGTGACTCCACAGTGATCGTTCAGCATTCCGAAACCGGACTATGGTTGTCCTATAAGGTAACATGCTTTTTATTAACATGATTGGCGTTTTGTTATAGCTTTATTCTTTGTTTTCAATGAAAACATTTTTAACGTTGTAGTATTATTAATCCGCTATGACTTCTTCACAATAATAGCCTAGCTAATAATAGTCAAAAGATTTTTTTGTGAAAAGGTGACATACAGCCTCCTGCTCGTTTGCCACTTTTCTACATTAAAAAAAATCGAGCACCGTTGCGTGGTCCATTCAAATTTTTTGCATCGTCTGATATTGGTGGCGATAATATTGAAGTTTCATCTTGAATGGATACGCTAAAAATGTATATTAATTAATGTCAATCGATTAAAATTTAACGTTACATTTATTTATTTATCCAATATTTACAACATTAATCTATCTAAAATTCTCTTTAAAAAATCTATAGACAAAATATCTACTTAAAACTAACATTACAGTCATACGAGACAAAGAAGAAGGGCGTTGGTAAAGTAGAGGAGAAACAGGCCATCCTTCATGAGGAAGGCAAGATGGACGACGGTTTGGACTTCTCAAGGTCACAAGAGGAGGAGTCCAGAACCGCTCGGGTTATTAGAAAGTGCTCGTCACTATTCACAAAGTTCATCAAGTAAGTGTTTTTCTATTTGTTTTTATGTACGTTGTCTTGTTTTCATGTATTGATGACTCCGTGGCGCAGTTGTCAAGGTATTGACCTCGACGTCGGGCGTTCAATTCCCGCTCGGGACAACTATTTCTGAGACCCATAGATAATTGTTTCGCATCTGGGTGTTGTCCACATGAAATTTTATTTATTATTCGTAAAATTATAAAATATAAATTTTATTCGTAAAACGCCCTTACAACACAGGATCATGTAATCCTACATTGAGGGAATTTTTTAAAAGAAAAAAAAACTATATTCTATCTAAACAAAGTGATAGCGGCCTGATATTGTCGTGTTGACAAACTTTCAGACAGACAATAATTCTACAAATAGTAATTTATGATTAAACATACTATTAATGGTAATCTCACTTAAGTTTTCATTCATCATAAACCTTTCGTAGGTCACTGTTAGAATAGGCTCCCATTGCACTATACCATCGTTGGCTTCTCGTAATTTCATTATTGGTTCATAATATTTATAATAACTGTAAGCGATTTACGCATCGTATTGTGCAAATATCCAAATAAGAAAAATACAACATCTAGCGATAGAAGATGATAAAAAAATCTTATTCACAGTGGCCTTGAGACCCTTCAAGAAAACAGACGCCACTCTATGTTCTTCGCTTCGGTGAATCTCGGCGAGATGGTGATGTGCTTGGAGGACCTGATCAATTACTTCGCGCAACCGGACGAGGACATGGGTGAGACAGTGACAAAATAAAAGATAACAAGAAATTCTAAACAACTCTTTTATATAAATATCTCATCTTAACTCTTTCCGGATAAAGGCTTCCATCGGAAAGCCCGACTTACGATAGAGGTTTTCTTTTTTTTTGTGACCCCTGGTGTTAAGTGGTAACCGCCGCCGCAACATCCATAGGGTAACGATGCGTGGCGACCTTTTAATAAGTGGGCCCCGACTACCTCACTCATCAGACGAAACGCAGAAGTATGACACTTCCACTTCACGCCGGTCTTCCAATGCGGTAAGTTTTCTGATAAGTTGGAACCCTTAACCACCCTCCTGCTTAACTTTACAAGTAAAGCCCAATATACTGTTCGATATGTATTTATGATACATAATTTATACAGACGACGAAAGAATCAAATATTGCTTTAGGAATGTGACTTTTAGCAGGAACTATAAGACCATTTATAATTACTATGGGTGTAATCTGAATGATCATAGATTAGTCCAGTTTTTTCCAAATAACCTTTTGAGACCTCGAAATTATCTGGTTACTTTGTTGGATTATCGAGTGGAAGACCAACTTTGTCGATCCTTGATCTAGTTAAAAGCCATAGTTACGGAATTATTAATGAATGATCTCTCTTTTAGAACACGAGGAGAAACAAAACAAGCTGCGTGCCTTGCGCAATCGCCAAGACCTGTTCCAAGAGGAGGGCATCCTCAATCTGATCTTGGAAGCAATCGACAAGATCAACGTCATCACCTCGCAAGGATTCTTGGCTGGGTTTCTCGCTGGTGACGAGTCAGGACAGAGCTGGGACATGATATCTGGATATCTATATCAGCTTCTAGGTAAAGTTACCGCGGTTTTGTAGTCTATTTTCGCTATTTAATTTAAGTTTCCTAAAGTTCCCTAATGAAGTGCGTATCCTTAAATACTTTTTAATTATTGTTTGTGTTTACGTTTTATTAGCCCTTTCCATTTTGATCTTTTATTTGTCTAGTCTTTCGAGTAGCTGGAATTCATCCTAAATAAGTAAAAATAAAATAAAATAATCAACCAAATCATTTAAATTAGGAGTGCTAAAGAAGAAAAAGAATATCGATCTGAACAAATATAAAATAATCTATATATAAAATAATATACATTTACTCTTTTGACGAGGGAATAACATTCCGTATACGGTGGGCAATTTCTTAAATAAATCGCTCGATTCCTAATTTGGAAATAATCCATACTTGACTTCTGTTTATATCGAAGTGATATTATGGCAATACAATCGGCCCATCTCCGTGCCATTTCTCCAGTAGTGGGGATCGAATCCTCACCCTCTGACGTAAGAGACAGGTCCACATCGTCAATATGAGAAGTAAGAAATATAGTTCATGCAAAATATATGATAATGTCATCATCAATTTCACCACCTTTCCTTGCCTTTCCACAGCGGCCATTATAAAGGGCAACCATACGAATTGCGCGCAATTCGCAAACTCGAACCGCCTGAATTGGCTGTTCTCGCGTCTCGGCTCCCAGGCGTCGGGGGAAGGCACGGGAATGTTGGACGTGTTACACTGCGTGCTCATCGACTCCCCGGAGGCGCTGAACATGATGCGGGTGAGTAATGGATGACTGGCTTATTGGAATAATTGGCTCTGTTGCTAAGCGTTGACGTCGGTATCGCCTTCGGCGTTGCAGGTCGTGGATTTGATTCCCGCACGGATAAATTATCCGAATCTCTGTATTTGTTTCCTAGCAACTAGTTTTTAACAACATGATTCACATGTTGTATCCAAGGGTATGAACGCGAAGGAAGATATTTCAGTGGCTTTAGAAGTGTGCGCCAGAGATAACAATTTATATTGTCGAGTACTGTATACATGTATAGGCTGTTACTTTTATCAGGACGAGCACATTAAAGTCATCATATCGCTGCTGGAGAAACACGGACGGGATCCGAAGGTGTTGGATGTGCTGTGCTCGCTGTGCGTGGGTAACGGGGTGGCAGTGCGTTCCTCGCAGAACAACATTTGCGACTATCTGTTGCCCGGGAAGAATTTGTTGCTGCAGACGCAACTCGTCGATCACGTGTCTAGGTGAATATCAAACTTTAGTGACGGGAATAGAGTCTATTTTCTAATGCTTGATTACCAAATACCAAATTGTTCATGGTTTTCTACAGATTTTAGATGAAGCTTGATCTAATTAAAATCACTAATCTAATCTATCCTAAAACCCATAGTACAAGCTTTGCCTAGTTTGAGATTAGATAATTTTCGAGGCAAATATGTCCTGAAATAGTAATTTATAAGTTGTTACGTATTATTTGAGTTAAAATTTGGTCTTATTACCGTTTTTTTAGTGTACGTCCGAACATTTTTGTTGGCCGCGTGGAAGGATCGGCAGTGTACCAGAAGTGGTACTTCGAGGTGACAATGGATCATATCGAGAAAACGACACATATGATGCCGCACCTGCGGATTGGATGGGCCAACACTACTGGGTATAAAACAAATTAACCACATCAATTTTGAAGCTGTTCTAAGTATTGATTATTTATAACCGTCCTACTGAGAACTTTATTAATTGCTCAGTGCCATCAAATGTATGTTTCTACTTGTATTATGGATACTTGTAAACGACCTTAAATAAATAACGACAGATCGTTTTAAAGATACATTTATTAAATACTAATTAAAAAGTGTGTCTTCATTACGCAAATACTTATCCCGATTGAAACAGGTTAGTCAGATGCCGCAAAGGAAACTATTTATCAAGATCAGTTTTACTGTGTTAGGGCCACGAAAATTTCAACAGTTGTATAAATTGTCAGGGTCATCCATGGCAGTATTATACTATCGTCTTTCGTTTCTTCTGGTAAGTGAGGTAGCCCGGGGCAACTTTTAAAGGGTTATCAAATTATCTACAACCCATTCAGTGTTACAGATTTCATTTATCATCTGTCACATTCACTTACATATGTCATATGATGTACGAAGCATAACAAATTTTCACGATACGCGTAATCTGTATTATTAAACATCATTGTTTGAAATACGAGAAAGCTTTAGGAAAGCCGAATATTGAGTAATAATAGACGAAAATTTGAATAATAATAGACGTTGGCCCTTGGTGGTGCCGTAGGTACGTGCCGTACCCTGGTGGTGGCGAGAAGTGGGGCGGCAATGGAGTGGGGGACGACCTGTACTCGTACGGCTTCGACGGCGCCCACCTCTGGTCTGGCGGGAGGAAGACTCCCGTCAACCGCACTCATGCTGAGGAGCCATTCATCAGGAAAGGTGGGTCCAAAAACTCCTGACCTCATCTAACCTCAGTTCCGATGCTGATAGGTTGAGCCTGCTTAGACAGAGATTTTAGACAGGGTATGCTTCGACAGAGATTCTATGCACTAAATAACACTTACTAATTTCTCCAAGTTATTCATGATAACATAACTGTTCATTTAAAATGATGTCCAATGTGGCATTTGAAAGTCGGTGAGTTGTTAAGTTTGTTTTCTTTAGCCTTAATATATAAGCACAACGTGTTCAGAGATCACGAGAAGTCACGGGTATCAGATATATATTAATATATAAAATTCTCGTGTCACGGGGTTCGAACTTGAACTCCTCCGAAACGGCTTGACCGATTTTTACCAAATTTTATATGCGTATTCAGTAGGTCTGAGAATCGGCTACTATCTATTTTTCGTCCCCCTAAATGTTAAGGGGGTAGTCCACCCCTAATTTTTTTTTTTTTTTTTTTTTATATAAAATTTTTTGTTTCTATTTTTTTATGACACAGCATACAAAAATACATACAACCCTAAATTTTCACCCCTCTACGCAGACGTAGTCGCGGGCAGCAGCTAGTTTAAATATATTACTAAGTTACTTTAATATATTATTCAGTTACTTGGTAATCACTATAAGTTATTTAAATTTAAATTTGGTATGTCCTTGTTAGATGTTTAATACTCTAACCCTCCGAGCGGGTAGAAAACATGCCTTAATATCTGTAGCCCATCATATTTGTTGAGCATTAAAATTATATTAATAATATCGTTTGTCAATTTAGAGTTTTAAAAAAATTCTGGTGAAAAAAAATTATTACAGAACAACAGTTAAAATCGGGCCCGCTGAAAGATTCAATCGAAATTATTTTCTAAACTATTGTGAAAACTTTTTAGGATTACCAATTAGTCTGTATATTATTCATTTAATTCTTCTCACTTCTTAGGTGACGTGATTGGATGCGCCTTGGACCTGACGGTGCCGATTATAAACCTTTATGTTCAACGGCATAAGAGTCACTGGGTCCTTCACCAATTTCAACTTGGAGGGCATGTTCTTCCCGGTTATTAGCTGCTCGAGCAAATTGAGGTAAATCGTAGTGCTCATGATTTGAACTGACCCTTTTCATGCAGTTGCAGTGGTAGGGTAGGAACGTAGTAGGATCACGCAGTAGTCTTCACTGTTGCAGAAATGGGCAGGCTTGTCCGTAAACTAACATAGTCTCATAGTAGACAGGCGATAACTGAAAATAATATACTTTTGCATTTCGTTTGGTGAGTAAGGAAACTGGGGCCTGCTGTGTTTTTAAAGGTTGGCAACGCATCTGCATTCTCGAGTTCTAAATATTCATGAGGGGCGGATTTTATTTTTTATGTGAAAAGTTGCCAAACGAGCAGACGGTTCACCTGATGTTAAGTGCATACCGCCGCCCATGGTCATCTGCTAACTACACCCGAGGGTCTGCAGATGCGTTGACAATTATACTTCCAGTTTACCCCGGTCTTCTGTGAGGTCGTGGTACTTACCCGGTAATAACCTTAACCGCAGATAAACTGGCTGCCTTTTCAACTGACTTCAAAAACGGAGAAAGTTCTTGATTAGACTGTATTTTATTTTTATTTTATTACGTACCTCAGACTGAGTAAACTAATTTTGATGATTCTTTTTTATTTGAAACTATATGTTCCTACGTGTTCCCATATTAATGTCTTTGATATTGGATCTGGGGGTCCGGAGGAACTTCCGAAAAACAATTATAAAAATAATATGGAGCGAGATATTTGAAGTCGGTTTTGTTTTTCGTTAATGGAAAAAATTATTCCTTAAAAAAACACCACGGCCACATACAATACCGTCGTCAAGTATACAGCGTGTCGTTGCAACGGCGACAATAAATGAACACACGCCTAACGCTACTTGCCAATAATCATAAAAAAATATTAACGTTAAAAATACATAATTATATACATACATAATAACACCCATAACACCCTATATAAGTACAACTGGCTGAGTCATACATTCAGAGACTTTTTCATTCGTTGCCACAGCGTCGTATAAGCAAGTACAAGCCTCTCCTTCTAACTTTTAAATTAATTCAACCCATTCATATGCTTTGTGACCTTTACAAATGAACTTCACGTTACTTTTTTATACGTAAGGGTGTTCTAAAATCGTTTGTTTTGGAAAATTTAATAACTCTGTAAATATTGATTTTTAAAGAATGTAAATTTTTAATACAATTTTAAAAAGTTATCCTCTATATTTGTGTTCATTTATTGTCACGTTTGTAAAGACACGCTGTATATAGCTGGATTATACTTTTGCGGTTTTTGCTTGACATTCAATAAGCCTATAGTAAATATGGCATATGTAATAATTTTTTGTGATTGACCGTCTTGCTTGTTCGTCTCGCATAAAGTGCGGCCTATCTTCTGTTACTCAGTTGCCGTTTCCTGCTTGGAGGTGAGCACGGTCGGCTGCGATACGCAGCACCCGAGGGATACTCCCCGCTGGTGGAATCCCTTCTGCCGCAGCAGATCCTGAGCTTAGAGCCGTGCTTCTACTTCGGCAACTTGGCTAAACGCGCTCTGGCTGGGCCGCCATTGGTGCAGGACGACACAGCCTTCGTCCCAACGCCCGTCGACACGTTGCAGGTTGGCTTGGAATCTTTTAAATTTGGAGAAAAATCTATATAAAGTTTTTCGCCATTGTTGGAATGAAACCCACGACTTAGGGCAGTATTTTTTCTACACAACTTACCTTCCAATTTCTTTTTCAGATCACTCTACCTTCATATATAGAACAAATACGGGACAAACTTGCCGAGAACATCCATGAAATGTGGGCGATGAACAAGGTTGGTGCATTAAGGCTGTAGATAAATCGTTTGAAATACACTCTTATGATCCACAACTGGGTCTATCAATCTTAATATTTCCGACACGTTAGTATTTTGTTTTTTTTTTATTCACCATATGTCGTGACTTCATCGTCCAATATAGTAAACTTTAATCTCGGAATAACTTCTTCAATGACTTCAGTTTAACATTACTTCAATTACATTACATTACTTCAATGTTACATTACTTCAATTTAATTCTGTTAAAACGTAGTCTCTTGTCTTCGAAACCGTCTTGAAATAAATTTTCGATTTAACACAAAATTGACAAATTCTGTTTTGTCCTTCTGAAAATATGGATTTGAAACACTTTCTCAAGGAGTCTAATTTAGAGATGAAATTCTGAATAAAAAATTTGATAAACGTCACTACTTCAATCTCGCAGATCGAAGCCGGCTGGGTCTATGGAGACCAACGCGACGATCTTCACAAAGTTCACCCGTGCCTGGTACCCTTCGAAAGGTTACCGCCAGCCGAAAAACGCTACGATATACAGCTCGCCGTCCAAACACTCAAGTATGTGTCATAAAATTAAACTAGTTTCTCTGAATAGTGAAAAATGTGAGACTTCAATTATCTACTATCAATTATCTACTCGAGTATGTGTCATAAAATTAAACTAATTTCTCCAAGTTATGAAAAATATGACAAATCAATTATCTTCGTTTCAAATTGATTTTTATAATTATTCATTTGATCATTCATTCAAACACTTGGATTTAAATTCTTGGTCCATGAATAATTAGGAATCGAAACTTCAGTATCATCATTTGAAAAATAACATCATATTACACTTCCGCACATTTCAGAACAATCTTAGCGTTGGGCTACTACATCAGTTTGGATAAACCGCCGGCGAGAATTCGTAATGTGAGACTTCCGAACGAGCCCTTCATGCAAGTGAGTGATAGCGCTTTTGAATATTTTAATGTGATGTATGTTAACAGTGATAACAACGTTGATTATATTAGCTGTAAGGTAAACATAATTTTACAAGTGCCTCAAATAGAGCTGAGGGTTAAATAAATCTTTCCCTCCCAAAGTCCATATTACCTTTATATAGCTTAAAAATAAAAAGCCTAGCAAACAGTGAACGCAAGTAAAACATTTTTAATTTGCGTTCCCCGATTATAAAACTTTGGCTTTAAACTTCAAGTCCGATACCTTCTGAGCCGTGATAGCTCAGTTTCCGGGCGCTCGCCCTTAATTCAATATACTCGAGCAACCTGAGTTCGATCCCCGGCACCGGCACCGATGAAATTGTTAATTTTAAGTCTTTTCCCTTGCTCAATGGTGAAGGGAAACATCGTGAGGAAACGTGCATATTTACGAAATAATAACAAACAATAAACATTTCGAAGATATGTGAAGTCCGCCAATCCGCAGTGGGGCCGCGTGGACTATACCCTCTGTACTGAGGAAGCCTATGCCCAGCAGTGGTGTATGTATGGGCCGTTACTTTACTTATATGTATATGGTTCTCTTACAGTCCAACGGCTACAAGCCAGCACCGCTAGACCTGAGTGCTGTCACCCTGACACCGAAGATGGACGAGCTAGTTGACCAGTTGGCAGAAAACACGCACAACCTTTGGGCACGCGAACGCATCCAGCAGGGCTGGACGTATGGACTCAACGAGGTTAGATATTAAATGACTAGTTTTTATTAGGGAAGATACACCAACTGAGTGGATAGTTGACCCGTCTCCTACGCCAGAGGGTTTCAGTTCTATCCTTACCATATTCTACACGAAAAATAGTTCGTGTCGAATATGGTGTTTTTCTAGTATCTGTGTATTTATATATCTATAAAATGTATTCATTTACAAAAGAAAAGTATGTTCAAGTATGTTATTCACTTGCATAATATCCATAGTTCAACCTTTGCTTATTTTGGGACTATATATTCTGTAAAAATATGTCCTGAAATATTTATTTCTTATTGTTAACCACAACACCTGTGGGTTTGTAGACGCTTTGCCAATATGTACGAAGGACAATTCTATATTGGCAAAACAATAAAAAGTAACATCTGGGGTAAACTTACAAATTTGTATTCTGTATTTTTAAGCGATAGACTTCGTTTACTTTTTAAATTTATCCTCTATACTATTAATCTTTGTAATTCATTTCCTTTTATTTCATCTGATAGTCAATATTTATCACTCACTTGAAATACTTCTTATTTAGTCTTTTATAAACCATTTCACATAGTTATTCTGTTATGATCACTTTTATTATTGTAACTTTAGTAGTTGGTGTAAGTATTTCTGTTTATTTGATGCAAATATTCCAAATTAAGTATTTTTAAAGTGTATTGATGTATATTGTATGTTTAATTAAATGTTCCTTAAATATGTAAGAAATGACGATATGAAGTTTATCCTTTATAATATTTCTACAGTTTAATCGAGAGCGTTATTATTAAAGTATTTATTTAAAACCTTACGATTACAAAATATAAAAAGTGCGTATTTCACTGGAAACTGTTTCTGTGTTCCAAGTTATATTCTATGAATTTACCAACTCACATTTAGTAATGTCCAATCCGCTGCTACTAAATCATTATCTTCTTCTCTTCTTTCATTTCTTTCATTTAGCAAAGGGCTGGCGGAGACCTTCTTATCTTAGACTCGACAGCTGTGACTCTCACGCTTAGTATGTTCGAGTTATTAGGTGTGAGGGTCACAGCATGCCGGGGCTAAAAACACAGCGCATAGAAGAAAGAACACCAGCTTATTACGTTTTTGTTACTATTTTATTATTCTATCAAGTTTGTTATGCATGCCAAACATTGATCTGGACATTTATATACTTTTAATTTTGTAGCACAATGTTTCTTATTTGTCCCACCTTCCTTAATCCTTCTGACTTTTCTTCATCTTTATCATCTTGATCGTAAAAGAGACCTAATCTGCCGAATAATTCTCTATGAATGTAAAGATAATATTTATGAATGTAATGTATCTTATCCGTAAACATTCTAAGTTCCTTCCTTCGCTTCGGTTTTTTCCATTATCTGAGTTTCATTATTCTTGTTCTAATGCACCAGGATGGTATTATAACAATACCATCATTAATTGCTCTATAAGAAAGATAATAAAATCAGAAAAAAAATATAATAAAGTCTAATTTAAAGACGACGTTTAAGTAAGTGTTTGGGACTGCAGAACGTTGCGTAAAAATGTGTCCCAAATATTTATTTTAAATTTATGTTAAATAAAGGATTATTATCTCAAACTCTCTCAGATCTCCCTTCCCTATCAGTTTGCTTTAAATTTCCGTTAGTCATCATGTCGATCTGAAATGTCACGCGGTTTCCAGGACCCCGACATGCACCGGTCGCCCCATCTGGTGCCCTACCCCAAGGTCGACGACGCTATCAAGAAGGCGAACAGAGATACCGCCTCGGAGACCGTCAGAACACTCCTGGTCTACGGATACAACTTGGATCCTCCCACGGGCGAACAGCACGAAGGTACCGAAATTGCCATTAACAACGAATAATCTCTAAAGATGTTTATGAAAATTATAAGTAAATAAGATTGAAAGGTAGAAAAAAAATTCAATCTTATTTCTTGCATTTTTTTCATTTAACCGACAATAAGGATATAAGGAGTTGTGTCAGTGGTTTTTGAATCCTGATCTGAGATTCTGATCATTCTGATCAATTCAGAGATTTTAACCATCTTTTTGGCTACTAAAATGACATTTGAAAAGCCATTTGACAGCTGATTAGTTAATTTCTACGATGAGCAGTGTTTCAGAAACCGGGCGTGTCATAGGTTTTATTTACTTTTAAGTTGACAAAGATAATAAGGTAAATCAAAGTGAGATTCATTCTCGGACCATTTAGTAGTGAAGTTATTAAGTCTGCAATGATAAGGCCGATGTTACTGTACCTCAGAGGCATGCAGTAGTAACTTCACATTTTTCAAAATTATTTTACCTACACAATTAAAATCGCAAGAACAAATTCTACATACGTAGAAAGAATTAAGTTCTACAACGCCTAATTGATAAAATATCCAATCGTATATGACATCATAATCAATAATGCATTCAAGGATTCACTCACGCATTTTTGCCTCTCCTGTAAAATTTGTGTTTTGTCACCTGTTTACCTCTGAGGTACAGAAATATGTCGATGAAATAAACGAGCCTGTAACGCAGATATTCCAACTGCCGATTTAAAATAAATTTCCAGCGCTTCTAGCGGAAGCATCTAAGCAAAAGCAAGCAGACTTCAGAACGTACAGAGCGGAAAAGAACTACGCCGTCAGCTCGGGGAAGTGGTACTTTGAGTTCGAAATACTTACCGCTGGGCCCATGAGGGTGAGTGCTGAGTGCTGACATATGGATTTGAGAATTAGTCAGTACCTAATATAAGTCTATTACGATATATTTGACAAAAATTATCTATAATAAAGATAAATGCGTACAATACGTGGTAGGGCCACGACACAGTTCGCTGTTGTAATGGGCAGGTCCATCCAGAGAAGTACCACGACCTGACATAACACTGGCGTGAAGTGAAAGTGTTTCTTCTAGATTTGTTCTGGTGAGTGAGGTAGCCGAGACCCACTTTATTAAAAGGTAGCAACGCGTCTGCATGTCCATGGGCAGCAGTTATCACTTAACATCTGGAGAACCGCCAGTTCTCTTGCCACCTTCTCAAATGAGAAAAAAAACCTTAGTGTTGGATAATGTTCTAAACACTTCATCTGCAATTATACAGCGTGTCTTTACCATCGCGACAATAAATGAACACACATATAGAGGATAACTTTTTAAAATTGTATTAAAAATTTACTTTCTTTAAACATCAATATTTACAGAGTTATTAAATTTTCCAAAACAAAGAATTTTAGAACACCCTTACGTATAAAACTGTAACGTAAAGTTCATTTGTAAAGGTCACAAAGCATATGAATGGGTTAAATGAATTTAAAAGAGACAAAACATACTGTTAGGAGAGGCTTGTAATGCGACGCTGTGGCAACGAATGAAAAAGTCTCTGAATGTATGAATCAGTCAGTTAATTATTGGCAAGTAGCGTTAGACGTGTGTTCATTTATTGTCGCGATGGTACACGCTGTATATTATACACAATATGCGTTAAGTATTAGACCTTAAACGTTGATATTTAATAATTACTTTTTATTTAGGTCGGCTGGGCTCATGCCGACATGGCACCGGGTATGATGTTGGGACAAGACGAAAACTCCTGGGCTTTTGACGGATACAATGTAAGTATCGAATTCGAAATTAGGTCAAAAAGTTTAGTATAAAACGATATGAAGATATTAAGCTTAGAGTAGAAGGAAATAAAATTAAATCAAGCCTTTATTGCATTTAAAAAAAGGACATATATATTTTTAAAAAATCTACTATTTTTTATTTAAACCTGGCCGATTTTGAGGCAGTATATAAAAAAAATAAACTGAAAAGTTTGATTGTAATGCAGTCGCTTAAAGTGCACGGAGCCTCGAGTGACACTTTTGGGCAGCAGCTGAAAATCGGTGACATAGTCGGGTGCTTCCTTGACGTTTTCGACCAGACGATTAGTGAGTTATCACTGTTAGGGCGCGAAGGTGCTATTCTGAAATCGAAGTTTAGTTTGTACATGTCATATTCCGAATGCGAGGCATACGACATGGCAAAGCTTTGTATAAAAGTCTTCTTAATTCAACGATATTGTTTACATTTTTATTGAAAATGTCATTTTATTGCACAAACATTTCTGTATTCAAATATGTCGTGCCGTTTTTATTTTAAGATTGTATATCTTTGCATATTAGTGAGATTTTAAGAAGCACCAAAAAGTATTACTGTATTGATCCAATTTCGGTGATTGTTCTTCAATCATAGATTAAATGAACAAATTTTGCCAATGTCTAATAGAAGCTTTACTATTTATTCGAAGAATATAACTATTACACATATATTAAAAGTGTACAAATTAATATGATCAGAGTAGCACCTTACACGTTTTTGAAGTCCCATATCAATTGCATTAGTTGTTTACTGAATGTATTCGTTGTTTATCTGTGGTAACAACTAATATTAGGTGGTCTGTATACAATACTGCCTTCCCTGCGTGTGGGAATATAACTCTTCTATTTCCTACAGTGAATGTTTATTATATACCTTCTACAGTTTCTTGACCCTATAATATTACGTGTAAAAATGCACTTCAACGAATAACCGTATCATTACCAAGATAATTGTTCAATAATTAAAAATTTCCTTAGATCTTTAATTTTTTTAATCGTAGTATACCATAGTTATTTATAAAATCTATGGGTAAGTGCATTTTTACATTGAATTTATAAATAATTTATTTTAAATTCCTTTACAGTTTAGTCGCAGTATTCAACGCTTTAAAACAAAATCCTAAATATAAAAAGGGTATAAATACAAGATGATTATGAGTGTATAATAATATTATATGCAATGTTTTTGTAAAACATTTTGATTGTAAATTATAACTTTAACAAAATCGTTTATGCAGTATATTTTGTATTCCCTACATTCAAAACTGGTTATAACGATATAAAAAATTAACAAAAGTTGAAAGTCTGCGAATCATTGATATAGGATCTTCTGAAATTGCTCATTTTTGAAATTTTCCCAAACTTTAAGGAAGAGAAAGTATTCAGCAGTAGCACAGAGTCGTTCGGCAAGCAATGGGCAGTGGGTGACGTAGTGGGAGTATTCCTTGATCTCATTGACAAAACGATAAGTAAATATCGCTGGCAGAGTCTGGCAACACTTTTGGCGAGATCGCTTCATAGATAATAGTAAACAGGTGGCGGTAAAGTTTTATTTTTAATCTACCACTCGTATTCAATTGTTTTAAAGTCCATTAGTTGGATAAAAGTTATTTAAAAAAATATTTGCGTATTGTGTCTTTTTGTATGTTTGACCATCTTATTAGTCCATCCAGGGACAAGATGAAATGATATTTTGGGTGTATGTGAATGATACATACGGTTTGATTCTCTGCTCTATTATTTTAGTCAATATAACGAACAAATAAAACTTTGCTGCCACATGTGTCGTTACGCGCGGCTTCCAAATTGACTGCTTTCGAAGTTACACGCCGTTTGAAATTTTTTACCAATCTTAAGAAAATTAGCTTTGTACCTAATACGAACACCGCATCGCTTGGCTTCACTGTGCCGATAATTTCGCGCACGTATTCGTAAAGTTTTCGATCAAATAAAAGTTTTTTCTAGAGTAGAATTTATATCACCAAAGTTTTGGAGAACTTTAAAACGTGCACAGCATGGGATTGTGAAACACACCCATAGATATCCGTAAATATAGTAATAATGACGTAGTGTTGGTTGTGCCTCGTATTTGTATTTATAGTATAGATTAGGACACCTTCATTGTTTATTGTTTATTAAGAGTTAGTTAACTTTTAAGTTAGAGTAATGATCCAACAAAAAGATGCAAATAATAACATCCAACGACATTTTGAACCATCTTACAATAATTTGATTCACATAATCAAAATTAAGTTTTAGGGAAGTTCACATCAAATTAAACATTTTGATCTTCTCTTACAGCGAGATTGTTCAATTTATTCGCTATTAGATTTTAGAGAATTATACAAAAGTAATGATTTGAAGCGATTTTAGTCCTTCTTTCAATCGTTTAAGTAAGTTCTTTTCGTGATTTATTAATAACGTTAAAATATATGCAGTGGTAAACCTCTGCGTACTTTATAAGTGCTTGTAGATAATATAAGTTAAAAATAAGATCATATCACATAATATTTACTCAAGTTTTATACATTTGTCCTGTTTCGACTTAAAAATCTATTCAATAATTTAATTTAATGTTAAGTTATTAGTTAGTTATTTACGTTGATCTGCAATTTGTTACATAACATATTGTAAAACTAATATTACCGGAAACCTAAAATATTTTTTAGCGAATACGCGACTTAAAACAGTTATTAACTGTGTTTGTGAAATTGAAAGATACTCTAACAATATAACCCGTGGTGTGTTTAATAATTTGTTGTGTTTATGTTATGACAAAATATTGTTAAAGTGAAATTAATTTACGGAGTTTTAGGCTTTTAATTTTGGTTTTAAATCCCAATGTTTAGCATCCATCACAGTCCACCCATTACCATGGACCATGTAAAGTATTGGAAATGCGGGGATTTAAAATCAAAATTATACACAATACGATAACATTAATTTTTTTTTCTGTTTTCCTACTAACCATACAAGAGTACTGCTTTAGTGATGTCTGTCTTGTTTTGCGGTTTTACATTATAATGGAACGATTTCATTACTTTGCATTTTCGTGTAATTTATTGAAATTGATATTGACATAAATTACGGTAGTAGGGCCACGCAGCAGCCTCGGCTGTTGCACGAATGGGCAGGCCCGTCCGGGTAAGTACCACGACCTCTCAGAAGACCAGCGTAAAGTGGAAGTATGACAAATACTTTCGCTTTTCGTCTGGTTAGTGAGGTAGCCGGAGCCCAATTTTCAAAAGGTTGTCAACGCATCTGTAACCCTCATGTGTAGCAGATGTCCATGGGCGGCGGTATTCACTTAACATCAGGTGAACCGTCTGCTCGTTTGACAACTTTTCGCATAAAAAAAATCATCATCATTTCAGCCTATTTGAGTCCACTGCTGAACATAGGCCGCCTCCATAGACAGCCACGAAGTACTATCCTGATCACAGTATCGATGATGTACAGGTCGTCACTCCATCTAGTGGGGGTCGTCCTACAGTGCGATGGCCAAATTACAAATTATTATATTTTATTACAACATACCTACTATTCAATAATACAATTTACCTCTTAGGCGCAAGACGCCACGCGTGCCTGTTTTGGTTGACGTGAAATCTTCAAAGTTTGTTTTTAATATTCTTCAGACACCGTCGTTTCTACCAGTGCCAATCAATCAAATCTATGTTTGCAAATGGTCTAATAAGCTGTGCTCGTACAAATGACTCATTTCATGGAGGGCGTTTATGTAATAGGCTACCTACTGTCTACCTACTCTTATGATATTGATTTTGTTTGAAAACCATATTTTTTGCTGTCGGTAGTTACGAGCAAACCAGAACTAACCGTCACTGTTGGTATTAGATACGTTTTAAATTAACATATCTGGAAAACGAATGTTGAGAGGAGTTTCAGAAGAAAGTAAATTCGTTTAATAACTAAAAAGCACATATACAGGGTAATTTTTTGACGAAGTACATACTTTGACATAATCTTAATTGAGCATTACATAATTTAAAAAATATTTACATTTTATTTTGACAAGAAATAATTAGAACAATATCAATTCAAACATTGTTTGTTTATCCCGTTAAGATTGGTCACCCAACCCTACCCAAATTCTGCATATGCTCTGTTAATATAATTGTGTCGTCTATGAAATCACCCTGCATAATAAATTACATAGAAGTATACAATTGCTTACATTATATTCCATTAAATTTCACAAGCATATCAGTATTACATATTTTCAGTATTACATTTTGTTTGGTAACTTAAGTAATTTTGTGTAGATAAATATATTTTTTTGTTAAAGAGTATTAAAATTTTTAATATTAAATTTATGTAATCCTTTGACATAAATGTGGGAGTATATTATTAGAAACAAGTAAATTGTGTTAATAGAAAAATTTACGTTGCATTATCGCCTCCTTAAATAAACTAAAATAAATATCTCAAATACACGCATGCACATCTTATAGGTTTCTCCCTTAATGGCGAACTCTTAATGGACGCTCTGGGAGGTGAAACTACGTTCGCCGATGTACAGGGTGATAACTTCGTGCCAGCGTGCACTCTTGGCGTTGGACAAAAGGCCCGGTATTTATTTTCTTTACTTTCAAGCACTCTCGACTGATATTAGAACACCCTTTGACATATAATTTTCTATAAAGCAATTTTCGAGAGTGAGAGTTTTTGCCATCAAGAATTGTACCAATACAATTCAAATCAGATTCAAATCAAATCAAATCAAATACCTTTATTTAATATAGAAGCATTACACTTTCTTATTGAAAGTCAAAACGCTACCACCGGTTTGGAAGGAAAAGCCACAATTAAATAAAATGTTTAGCAATCTTGTTATACCGTGTTAACAGCTTTTGCCTACTAGCCCTTTGCCCTCTTCTCGCCAAATGTACATTATTAGTCATATTTATTTCATATTAATTAAATGATATATTATACATTAATTGAGCACTTGATAAACCCTAAGGGCAGACATCACCTGGTGTCGGGGTCTGATAGAGCTAAAGTTGTAGCTTACGCTGAAAATATATTGTTACATTATTATTGTTGTAAATTTTTATGGATCAACTAAGGGTTATTTTTTTTCCTTCAGGCTAACATACGGTCAAGATGTGAACTCTTTGAAATATTTCACAACATGCGGTTTGCAAGAGGGCTATGAACCATTCTGCGTGTAAGTATTAATTTTTTAAAACAAATCGTCTATGTACAATTGGAAAACGCACATTTACTTATTTATTAATAACAAACCTTGTCTATATGGAGGATAAGAATTTCCAAAGCTTTCTTGATGTTTTTAGTGCTTCTAATGACGTAAAAAAATCTTGTTTCAGTTTCGTATTTCGTTCAATAACTCTTTTGAACTCCATCTTTTCCCTTTTATCTACGAGAGAAATTCGTAATTCAAATAAATAAATAAATAAATAAAAGTCACTTTATTGCCTTATTTATAACTTATAACTAAGCAATAAAGTGATTTTTATAAGCTCTTGTACAAGCTGATGAATTTCATTCCAACGTGTCCTTCCCATTTCCTTACAAGGGTCAATTGTAATTGAGCCGATGTTACGTTTTTCAGAAACATGAAACGGGACGTCACACACTGGTACACAAAGGACCAACCCATTTTCGAGTACACCGACGAAATGGCAGATACGAAAATCGACGTAACAAGGATACCCGCCGGCTCTGGTAAGGAAAAGCATGTTGAAATGTTTTCCTTTTTTCTTGTAACAAAAAGAATCATTACAATCCATATCACCGTTTCCATAGCTTCTTTTTAATTTGAGATGTAAATTGCAACCCTCTATTGATGGTTTTTCTGATGTTTAATCGCATATTCTCGCTAGTTGAGATGTATTTTTATGCCTATCTGTAAATATGTAAAAAAAACATCAAAAATAAATACTGAAATAATTTAATGAAATTTGTAACATTCAAACTAAAACACGATTAAATGAATCCATTTTATGGAATTTTTAAATTCTCTTACAATACCCAAATTAAAAAATGATATAATCCGTGAAATAGTTTGATTTAAACAAAATAAGATAAATTATCAAACTAATATATACTTATATTATTTTCCTGTATTAAAGCATCTGTATGATACATTGTCCCTAGAAACGCCGCCGTGTTTGAAGATCTCCCACAACACTTTCGAGACAATGGAGAAAGCCAACTGGGAATTCCTCCGACTATCTCTGCCAGTTATTTGCCATGCCACATTCATTGAGTAAGTAAAGGGTTAAGAGAGTCACAGTTCACAGCATTTGAACTGCCCGCTTATAACAATAAGGTTTTGACTAAACCTACTTGTCCATAGAAGCTTTTCACGTACGCCAATAATATATGTATCAACTTTTAATCCTCTTCTTTCTACTGGCTTTATCCTACCTTGGTGGTGTCTGCAAAATACGTGAATATTGTCCATGGTAATTGGCAATGTAAAAAATAAATATTTTATTATGACTTGCCGCTTGCCTACTTCAACCCTCCTTGAAGACAAATAGCCAGATCTGGAACACGTATCTATTTGTCACACAAATACTTACCATGTGTGATGCATCGAACTCAAGACCCCCGGCGCCATAACCAAAGGCTTGGCTTATTTTTATTTCTTTATACTTAAATTATAAAACCACCAGTTCAGTAAACCCGTTGTGAATTTAACCACAATTACGGTATATGTTTGTTCCAAAGTGAGAACGAGAAAGCTCGCCGCTGGGTGGAGATCAAAGAGAGACAGCAAATCCTGATGAAGGAAGCCACCGAGGCTCAGATGCCGGCCCACATTGACCAGATCATGAGGAGTGGATTCACTATGAACGATATAAAAGGTATGTTCTTCATCGTCTTCTTCTTCTTTTCGAGTCAAAATAGCTACTTAGATCTTGTTCGACCAGTACTTGGCCAACTATGGCCCATCCATTGCAATGTCCGTTATGTCCCTCCTCCTGCACCTACAGAGACCTGCTTGAAGCCAATTCTGCTGCGGTGGATGTTCTCCATAAAACCACTCCTTACTTTTATAATAGCCAATGATATAACTACACTTAAGAAGACAAAAATAATAAAACCAATTCTTGTCTTGCGCCCGTAATGCGGACAATCAGTCTTGCTACCAAACTCGTCGGAGCCTAAAATATATCAGGTGAAAATCTTGCCCCCGCCACTGGGCATAGATTTCAAAGAGTCATCTTTGCATCTCATAATCCGAAAAGAGGAAAAGTTTACAGAATCTATCTTCACTCTGTGTGACGTACCTATCTGTGTTTCAAAATAACACGTGATAGAAAATTGAATAAGGAAATAAACTATGTGTAAAGGTAATGATGGAAATGATCAGATAAAAAAACATTTTCATGAAATATCTATAAGTATTACAGTTAATTTGTAGATGTGATGTTGAATGAATCGACATCAAAAATAATTAAAAGTATGCAAAACTTTTGTTAAAAGTATTATACTAAAAGTACAAGTACGAGTAAGTACAATACTAACAGTATTGTGATACTTTCGACAGCTTAAAGAAAATCTCAAAAAATATAATGTGACATTGAGTTATTTATTCGATTCGAATAACTGTTTGTAAATATGTAGCTTTTTGTATATACAATTTTATTATTAGCACACTACAATAAACATGTTTTGTTAAGTGTTTTTTTTTATTTGCATTGTGTTCCCTAACCAACAGATCAAAGCCCATCCCCCTTACCCCTCGTTGGACCGTTTATGCTTTTTTGACACCTTCTTTTTTGTTATCCCCCTCACCTAAGGTCTCAACTACGATGAGAATCAGGAAGAGATGCCAACGACTTCGAAAGTCAAGCGACAACCGTCCAGGCCTCCGAGGAAGGGATCCATCACGCGAGGCGTCACAATACAGAACTATAATTTGCAGCCAGGTTTACAATCGAATCAATTCGCTGTCTCTCGCACCTAATCGAGATTCTTCTATTCCTGCATCTCTCTCTGTCATTTCCTCGCTAACCTCTAAATATTTATCTCCTTCCCTTTTGTCTCCTTTAACTCTTTTATTTAGTACTAATTAAAAATTAACATCGCTTCATTTATACTCTCATTAAGTTGTAATAATTTACAATTAACTTCTGTATTATCAACCACATCACTTACATTGCAGACAAAAAACATTTTCGAGGATTTTGTGATGGTAAACCTCATGAACATCATCGTTACAAATGTACAAGACATGTTTCACAAAGTTTTCCAAGTTTCGAAAGTAATAACTTATTGTTAATACTTACAAATCGGTGGCAGGTCAAACAAACGGCATGCAACGGTCGACGAGCGAAGCAGAAATGGCGAAGTATGAACTGGGAGTCAACAACGTTCCGGATGACAAAAAGGATAAACGCGGCAGATCGCCGTTTAAGTATGAATATTCAAATCTTGCTTATTATATATCTAAGCAAATATGTATATATTTTAAAGCACGGATTGTTGCTCTTCGAATTGTTATTTAAGACCCAAAATTATGAAACATTTTTGAGGGACAGACCACACCTTTCACCAATTCACACTTGACCTGCGCCGTGAATCTGATAAGTGAAGGCATTTGTGCAGTAGAAAGGTATACATAATATAGAGCTCTTTATTTTCTTGATTGACATACTAAACATCTGCCGTAATTATCTGTTATTTTTTTACATCGTTTCAATTACATAGCGGCAAGAGGTATATTAAGGCTATTACATACACTCGTAGAACTAAATGATGGGAAAAAACGTTCTCGAGTGGCAGCCTCGTATTGACCATCACAATGTAGGATCCAACTAGATGAAGTGAGGACCTGTGCAAATCTGCATGGATACGATGGATGCAGGTGGTTCAGGATCATGCTTCTTGGCTGTTGTGGGGGACCTATGTCCAGCATTGGACTTAAACAGGCTGAAATGATGATGATGTATTTTTTTGATATGATAAAGTGGCAACACCCATATGCGTTGCAAATGCGTTGCCACCTTTAAATAAAGTGGGCCCCGGCTACCTCACTGCAACCTCACTGGCTACCTCACTCACCAGAAAGGCAGAAGCGTAACACTTCTACTTTACGCCGGTCTTCTGTGATTTCGTGGTACTAACCCGGCTGGACTTGTCCATTCAGTGAACAGTCACAGTTAACAGTGAACACTGTTGCGTGGCCTAACTACAGTTATGTGCACCCACTGTATGCACGTACAGATCCTCAACTTTTAGTATATGGATCCAATGATCTCCAACGCAGGTTCTTCAGAAGCAAACGCGGCGAGAGCGGCGAGAGAACGAAGTCCCGCAAGTCAAAAACCCCCGACCCCTTCAGCGACACGGAGGTGTCTCCAGATAGGGGCGGCAGGCGGCCCAACCCGCAAATCAGGATTTCGCAAGTATGCATAATGTTTTGTGTCCGTTCAACATCGTGTGTTTCCCCAACAATGTATTCCGTAAGGTTTTTGACTCCAAGTCCACTACAGTGATGCATCGGTACATGTAAATACATCTTTGTACAGATTTATAGGATTTTCAGGTAATTTTAACAATATTTTCCTTCAAAATAACATTAAAAAAACAGAAATAAAAGAATAAATGGTAATTAAGACCTTTGTTGTCGTGTTGTGTAACAATGTGTAAGTTCTAAGGGATATGAATAGTTTTGTTTAATTTCAATCGTTTATGTCTCTATCTCACGAAGGCAACATTATAATAAAAATGCTTATAGCTATTCAACAAATATAGTAGTTTTAAGAAAAAATAGAATTTCTTTTTACAGTCTGTCTCTATAGGTGATTGACTGATCTCTGGTCAGTCTGATCTGATGTCTGTAGAGATGACTGATCTAATCATTTTTTTAATTAAGGAAAAATTATGATTTTGAAATGAATAACTGTTACTTTAAAATGAAAAATTGTTAAAATGATCTGATAAACAAATGTCCGATTCTGTCGTTATCGACCTACAGTGAGCTGTTTGATATGTTTATGTTCCTAGCGTATTCATGTCCCTAGCATAAGGTCTAACGTTATGGGCCAGAGGTGGACTATTGAGATACTTGTTTTACAGTTACATTATAATATGCTCCGGATCAGAATAAAAATGAAAGCCTTTTGTGCGAGATCAGTGATTCTTTAAGGGCTGGCTAAATAGTGAAATTAAAACTATGATCTAGTTAAAACGCCTCTCAGTTTTCTCCCATAAATAACATTACCCTTTCTAGATGAATGTTGCATTATATATTACCTTTTTCCCATTAGAACTCTTCTAGAAATCTTTAGTTTGCAAATTAGAGAAATCCGTTTGTTATTCCCAAATATTTAAATTATGTTCCGCTTGTTTTATCCCCCGTTTTGTTTGTTTTTTCCCTAAGGCGAACCAAAGATATAACGGCATGCAAGGTAGACCTTCCGGCCACAATTTGTACGGAAGTCAGGGTGGGTTAAACGTAAGTCCATTGTCGTTGGAGTGATTTGTACTAAAGCCCTTAACATTATCAATCCATAAATGTATTTTCTTATACGTTTTACTTTAACATAAGTAGCTTTTAAGTTATTAACGATCTAAACATGACAAGTATTTCTTGCTCTTTCTTTATAACATTGGATTCAGCTATCTCTTTCTGCAATTCTTTTTATGGTAGTCGCTTTATTATTCTACTGTGGTTTTTTTAGCTTTAATTGAACAATAAAACGCATATAATTCGTTTGCATTCTTTACAAATATGATTTTGAAAGAAAGAATTGAAAGCTCTCCAAAAACAAGAGGGCCTTTCGAATTTACACTTCCTTTGGCGAGTTCGGAAAAATGTTGAGTGTAAAATTCACGATTTACAATCGACCCTCAAAATAGTAAATGATACATGGTAGGTAATCCTTTTAAAATTGGCAACCAATAACAACTTTTTGAAATTATAACAATAATTCCAAGGTACCTAAACAAACCGTTAACGATTGCATTTAATACATTTACGTTAAAGAAGTGTAACTTCTTATGTGCGAGTACACATACTTATATTTTGTTAAAACTCGTCCCGCCCGCATACAACTCCGATTAAAAATGTCTAAGCTTGGTTTCAGTTATACGTATTAATCGTAAACAAGTCGGCAAGTTTCAAAATCACCCACGTCGCTTACAGTCCAACCTGCAAGTGGCGACACCACCGCAGGAGCGTAAGCAAATGACGACGAGCACCCTCGCCGCTGCCACAACCGAAACCGTTGGGAACGAGATCTTCGATGCGGACTGTTTGAAGCTCATCAACGAATACTTCTACGGCGTCAGGTAAAGGAGGAAACTGATTCGTTCATCACTGTGGTAGGGCCGCGTCGTCTTCTCTGTTGCACGAATGGGCAGCTCCGTCCGGGGAAGTACCACGACCTGACAGAAGACCGGCGCGAAGTGAAAGTGTTACACTTCTGCGTTTCGTCTGGTGAGCGTCAGTGAAAGGTTGCAACGCATCTGCAACCCTACGTGTGGAGCAAATGTCTATGGGCGCCGGTCATCACTTAATATCAGGTGAGCCGCCAGTTCGTTTGCCACTTTCTCACATAAAAATAAAATGTGCCATAATGATTTATTTTGCTTACACGATATCACTTGTCTTATCACGTATTCAGCGATGAAGGATAACATCGTGAGTAAACGTACATTTTCGAAGTACCAAGTAAAGTAACATGTTTCGAAGATATGTGAAGTCTGTCAATAGAAATCGCAGAGGTCATCGCTTGATGGACTGCGTTCCAGTTAATCTACCGTCAACTTTTTAATAATTTGCTTGTCCAATCTAGGCAATAGCATAATTGAACATAACAGAACTGTGCCATTTATGCTGTAAGATAGTAAATTTTAATAACCTGTATTAGCTCGTCCAGGTAATTTCGGTATAGTCGAGTAGCCAATCCGCAACTTAAACGGGTACTGGACTAAGCCTTCCCGCAGCTGTGGGACATATAATTTACTAGCTCCTGCCCGCGACTACGTCCGCGTAGAATAGGCTGAAGGCGTAACATTCAGACAGAAAGACAGATACATAAAAATATGTGTATAAACTATACATTATAAAAATATTTACTCTTTGGCTAATGCAATACTTTCCTTTATTGCAGAATATTCCCCGGTCAAGATCCCACGCACGTGTATATAGGATGGGTGACCACACAATATCACCTTCACTCGAAGGACTTCAACCAGAACAAGGTCACCAAGTCGTCTGTCATCATCACCGACGACTATGACAGAGTTATTGAAAGGTATGAATGACATTAATGTTTCTAATAAAGCTTAGAAATTAGGAGGCCCGCGAGACTGCATCAAAGTTTGATTTTTTTATTCAATTGCCTTTGGATTAGTAAGCTGAAGTGATAAGCTGAATAAATGAAAAAAAGGTGGCAATGCATTTTCAATCCTACGGGTGTCGCAAATGTCTATGGGCGGCGGTTATCACTTAACATCAGGTGAACCACCAACTCGTTTGCCACTTTCTCAAATAAAAATAATAATAATTATAATGGATAAGAAAGGCTTTTGAGTGGCAGCCTCGTACTGGCCATCGCAGTGTACGACGACCCCCACTAGATGGAGTCAGGACTTGTGCAAGTGTGCGGGAAGTCGATGGATGCAGGTGGCTCAGGACCATGGCAGTAGCAGACTGTGGGGGAGGCCTATGTTCAGCTGTGGATTAAAACATGCAACAGTGATTTTAAGACACATTTTTTTACACAACGTTCTCTATTCCCAAACTAAGCAACGCTTGTACTATGGGTAATAGATAACTGATAAGTATACTTTTTATTAGAAAATATATACGTAAAAAGTAAAGTAACAGCCTATAAATGTCCCACAGCTGGGCAAAGGCCTCATCTGTACAGAGGGTATCAGGGCATAGTCCACCACACGGCCTCACTGCGGATTGACGGACTTCACATATTTTCGAATGTTTTCCTTGTTCCTCACGATGTTTTCCTTCACTGCCGAGCTCGTGATAAGTCAGCACTTAAAATTAACAATTTCATTGGTGCTAGCACCGGGGATCGAACTCAGGTTGCTCGAGTAAATTGAATAAAAGGCGAGCGCCCGGACACTGAGCTATCACGGCTCATACATGTTACACATATTAAATATATATAAACACCCAGACACTGGAAAAACGCCATGCATCACACAATTTCCAGTAGTGGGGATCGAACCTACACCCTCTGGCGCAAGAGGAAGGGTCACCACCCACTACGCCAATCGGGTCGTCGTGATGGTGAATTTTTATTTAAAAAATCATTGTCCTCACTTTAGGATAACATCATCCTGTGTTGCAAGGACGTTTTACATATATAAATTTCACGTGGACAAGCACCAAGATGCGAAAAGATTATCTGTGGGTCACACAAACAGCTGTCCCTTGTGGAATTCGAACCCACGACCTCCACCGAAGCCAATACCTTGACGACTGCGCAACGGAGTCACCACAATTGTCCTCGCGTTTTCAGCGTCAACCGCCAGTCGTGTTACATGGTGCGCGCCGACGAGCTGTACAACGAAGTGATGGCGGAGGCGACGGGAAAGGGGGCATCCCAAGGGATGTTCATCGGCTGCTCCGTGGACACTTCCACCGGCACAGTAGCATTCACGTGCGAGGGAAAGGAAACCAGCATCAAGTTCAAGGTGAACTAGCACCCAAGCTTACCCTCTGACGATGGAAGATTATTAACTATTTAGTTTTTTTTTTATGTGAAAAGTTGCCAAGTGAGCAGGCGGTTCACCTGGTGTTAAGTGAATACCGCCACCCATGGACATCTGCCACACCCGAGGGTTGCAGATGCGTTGGACAACCTTTTGAAAATTGGGCTCCGGCCACCTCACTCACCAGACCAAACGCGAAAGTATTATACTTCCACTTTACGCCGGTCTTCTGTGAGGAAGACAGACATTAAACAATAACTAATTAGTTATTTGTTTAATGTCCGAAATTAAATAAATAAATTGAGTTGATAAATGACATTAATGGCCACAAATGCACATGTAATTATTTGTGGCAGACAGCGAAACTAACTCGGTGGCGCAGTTAATTAACTATCGGCTTCAGCATAGGAGGTCGTGGGTTCGACTCCCACATGGGACAAATATTTGTGTGACCAACAGATAATTGTTCCAAATCTGCGCGATTGTTTTTCAAGGAAGGTTGACGTCAGGCAGGGTCGTAAAATAAAATATCCTTAACTGCTTACAGCAAGGATGAGCAACGCGCGGCCCGCGGGCCGCTTGCGGCCCCTTAAACATGTTTATGCGGCCCGCCAAGTATTTCAAAAATTGAATTTATTTTATCGAATTTCTCCCATCAATATATTGTTATAAAATTAACTATAATAAAATGGTAGTACATACTGAACCGAAATATTTTTTGTTCGGTTTTCTGTTCTTTTCTTGTTTTTTTTCCTTGCATTAAAATTTGTATATGAAATCTTTACTTTTTTTTATTTTATATTTTTTTATTCTAATATTTATTATAAATAAAGTTTCGTAAATTATTATGTGCGGCCCACCAAAAAATTTGAAATTTAAATTGGGCCATTGATTTTAATTGGCTTACCAACTAAATATATACAGAACATTGACATTCAAATAGGTTTAACTTAATCATTAAGCTGTAACAATATATGTACGTATTTAAACTAATGGTTAACACAACACTATAAAACTCTAAGTAAAAAAAAAAACGAAAAATAAAAAAAATTATAAATTAGAACTTAGCTGGTTAACATAATGCCTTATTTTATTTATAATCTGTATCTATTATTTACCATTCTGCAACGTTGCCCGTAGCCGTATTTTATTTTTTTATTTTATAGTATAAAATAAAGTCGTCCCGCTGTCTGTCTGCTTCGCACAGGTGCAATTTGTTATACATATGAACCTTCCTCTTGAATCACTCTATCTAATAAAACAAGCCGCATCAAGATCCGTTGCGTAGTTTTAAAGATCTAAGTACACATAGGGACAGACAGACAGCGGGACGACTTTGTTTTATACTACGTAGTGATATAACGCACCCGTGCGAAGCCGGGGCGGGTCGCTAATTTATTTACAATCTGTATCAGATGGAGCCGGAGACGAAGCTGTTCCCGGCGATATTCGTGGAGGCGACATCTAGGGAGATCCTCCAGATCGAGCTGGGCAGGTCCTCCACCAGCCTGCCGCTCAGCGCGGCGGTTCTGCCCACCAGCGACAAGCACGTCAACCCACAGTTCCCGCCGAGGCTGAAGGTCCAATGCCTGAAGCCCCATCAGTGGGCGCGGGTGAGTATCGCAATTTCCGAGTCTAAATAATTGTACACATATCTTGTTGGTTATGATGCACTAATTTAGTGTAAATATGAATAACAGTTCGTATTTTATTATATTAGGTACCTGGCTGAGATGCTTTAGAGTAACAACCCTTATTAAAATAACGGGTAAATAACTCTGGTTGCAGAAGCACAAATTTGATTACCATCTAAAGGGCAAGCCGGCATTTTTGTATGTAACTCATTTCAGCGTACATTTTAAATATTTATAGATAAAAAAATATTCAATATCGTCGGAGGGTAGAGAAAAATATCCCACAAGTGACTTTTGTGGAAATATTCCCAAAAACATAAAAAGATATGAAAAAGTTTCAAACAAAAAAACAAACTCATTCTGTTTTCCTCGTAATTCTTTGATTCAGCGCCCATAAAATTGTTAAATGTAGTATATAGCTTTAACAGATTACTATTGCTTTAGAGTTAATATAATATACCCTTTATTATAATATACCCCAGTGGGTATATTAATTGCTTTCACAACCGATTTTTTTTACAAAAAATTCAATCAATATTATCAGCTATATTTATCTTCGACACGTAATGTCTAGTAATAATACACACATCAGGTGTTAATTTATTTGACTCCTAAGTTAGGTACTACTTTTCTCCCCAGGTTCCAAATCAATCTCTACAAGTGCACGCGCTTAAATTGTCTGATATCCGAGGCTGGTCCATGCTTTGTGAGGATGCCGTCTCCATGTTAGCATTGCACATACCAGGTATACCCCAATAAGAATAATAACGTCTTTTATTTACGCGAATATTATACATTTAAATGAGTTAACTGTGATGGGGCTATGCAACAGTCATCGCTGTTGCACAAATGGGCAGGCTCGTCCGGGTGACTACCACGACTTCACAGAAGACCGGCGTTAGGTGGAAGTGTTTCCTCTGCGTATGTTCTGGTGAGTGAGGTAGCCGGGGCCCACTTTATTTATAAGATGGCAACGCATCTGCAACCTTACGGGCGTTGCGAATGTCGATCGGTGGCGGTTATGACTTAACATCAGGTGAACCTTCAGCTCGTTTGCCACTTTCTCAGTTAAAAAAAAATACTAAGATACGGATTTTATCGCCTCTTATTTATAATTTTAAACACCCTACACTTGTAGCACTCATGGCCACAGGCCGGACTAAAATGTTTCGCGTCCTGGTCTCAGTGTTAGCTCTGCCTACTGCCATCTAAGATGACCATGAATACTATAAAGCATTCGAAACTCCAGGTGTTTAAATTTAAACAGGGTAGATTGTTAGAAAATTGGTGAACTAAATTTGAGACCGCTGTGAAAGGCTTACATTGAATCTTTTTTTTCTTCCACAGAGGAGGATCGCTGCATCGACATTTTGGAGTTAATTGAAATGGACAAACTACTCAGCTTCCACTCTCACACGCTCACTTTGTACGCAGCTCTATGCTATCAGAGCAACTACAGGTGAGTTTTTCTAAAGTTTTATCATAAAGTATAACTAGAAAATGGAGTTGATTCTTTGCTTCTTAGTAGAAATGCAAACTTATTGAAATTACTAAATAAAATGAGCCGTGTTAACTTAGTGTCAGTGTCTTTTAATCCATACCAGCATTATAAATGCGAGTAACTCTATCTGTCTGTCTGTCTCGTTTTCATAACAAAACTACTGAACCGATTTAAATGGATAACGTCAAATGCTAGCCAGTTTTGAATTAAAAAAATGAAATTTAGTACTCAGATAGTCTAGAGCCCGAGAAACTACATAGGCAATTTTTTTTAATTCTAAAAAGTGTTGTTAAGGGTTGAAAGATATTTACTTAAGGGCTTCAACGCGAGCGAAGCCGCGGGCGAGAAGCTAGTTCAATATAATCGAGCAACACGAGTTCAAATTCCTAGTAATGAAATTGTAAATTGCCGATTGTGAAGGAATTTCTATTGAAGAAACCGTTTCGATTTCAGGGCGGCCCACGCTTTATGCCAGCACGTGGATCAGAAGCAACTTCTCTACGCAATTCAATCGCAGTACATGTCGGGTCCGCTGCGTCAAGGGTTCTACGACCTGCTCATCGCCCTGCATCTGGAATCGCACGCTACGACCATGTCAGTATTAATTTGGCCACGATGTGATGTCAAAGTGTAAGACGACTCCCACTATAGGGAGACCTGTGCAAATATGCGGGAAGTCGATGGTTTTTTTTGTGAAAAGTTGCCAAGCGAGCAGACGGTTCACCTGATGTTAAGTGAATACCGCCGCCCATGGAAATCCGCTACACCCGTTTTGTAAATGCGTTGACAACCTTTTTGAAATTTCTGGCTTTTTGAAAATGGATGCAGATGGTCTAAGGATCGTGCTCCGTGGCAGTCTATTGAGGAGGCTATAAGCTGAAAAGATGATGTTGATGATGACGATACGATGCAGGACTAAATCTTCTCCATCAGAGTCTTCTCGATTTCTGTAACTGACAAGGTCATAAAAATGTAAAAAAAGTTGTCAGTAGTTGCATCATTAAGTGTTTAGGATAAATTATTTCTTTCTTGCCTGTCTGAACCCTCCTCAACTTAGAGAAGATCCAGAGAGATCACCTGTTAGGTTTTGTCCAGCTTTGTACAAAGACTTTGTGTGCATAAATTTTGAAAAAAATAAAGCAACGACTTGATGAAAGGCAAAAAAACATACCATAGGATATTTCGTCTTCCATGTTATAAAGATGTAATTATTTATAAATTAAATTTTAACGTTTTGTTCTCTTTGTAAGCTTATTGCCTACGTTTACTTACATTACATTTCTTAGATATTTTAATCTTAGTTGAGTCTCCTCGGAAAACAGCTTAAGCACCACGGTTTATCAAAAGAGCTCTTGTTGTTGTAACAACAATATCGAATCCTCGTGTTGCAGGGAAACTTGCAAAAACGAATTCGTAATACCACTCGGCCCCGAACTGAAGGCGTTATACGAGGACCCAGATATGCGTCACAGCCTACGCTCCCTCCAAACTGAGAGTGTACGGCCCCAAATGAACATGACGGACATCTCGTAAGTAATGGACACTATATTATTTAGTCCATGATTCATGAATGATAACTGTTACTCTTGCACTGTTCACTTTAAACATTAAATGAAAAATAACTAAGAAAAAGGATCTTAGCTTATTGAACATTACTCAGGTTTTAAATATTAAGAGCATGAAAAATTTTACATAATAATGAACGTTATACACGAAGTAGAAGTAGAGACTTTTGTCTTTTTTTATGTGAAAACTACTCAAGCGAGCAGGCTGCCCGCCCGATGTTAAGTGGATACCGCCGCCCATGAACATCTGCAGCACTTGAGAGTTGCAGATACGTTTACAACCTTTAAAAAGTGGGCCCCGTATACCTCACTCACCAGACGAAACGAGAAAATGTAATAACTTCCACTTCGCGCCGGTTTTGGTACCTCCACGGACGAACCTGCACATCGTGCAACAGCAACGGCTGTTGCATGGCCCTACCACAGGGAAAGTTGTTTGGCAGCGAAGAAAAAGATACTATTACATTTTGAATTACATTTTAATATACTTTGTATCGTTGTTCAAGTCATAGACCGACTTCTGGCAATTTCTAGAATTTTTTTTTATTATAAAAACATTGCCCTCACTTTAGGATAACATTGTAATGTGTTGTAAAGATGTTTTACAAACATACATTGCATTTTAGACATTAGTCCTATGGATCGTAAATAAATCGACAGTCGCCTTATTCATAAATCTCAGCTATTCGTAAACTAATACGAAACTACAAATGTATCGAATTCAGGGACAAGATCACGGACATAAGCAACCTCTACTCGCCTTACTTCCCGCTGGAGGTGGTTCGGGAGTTCGTGATGCAGGCGCTGGCCGAAGCGGTTGAGACCAATCAAGTGCACAACCGGGACCCGGTCGGCGGGAGCAACGAGAATCTCTTCCTGTGAGCTCATCTAATGTTACCACTTTTTATGTGCGAAGGCAGCAAACGAGCCGGCGGTTCACCTGATGTTAAGTGACAACCGCCGCCCATGGACGTTTGCGACACTTGTAGGGTTGCAGATGCGTTGCCACGTTATAATAAAGTGGGCCCCGGCTACCTCACTCACCAAACAAAACGCAGAAGTGTAACACTTGTACTTCACGCTTGTCTTCTTCGAGGTCGTGGTACTTACCCGGACGGACCTGCCCATTCGTGCAACAGCGAAGACTGTTGCGTGGCCCTGCCACAGGGAGCTAATCTAATGTTTCTACTTTTTTATGTAATAAGGTGGCAAACGAGCCGGCGGCTCACCTGACTTAAGTTTAACCGCCGCCCATTGTCATTTAAAACACTCCTAGTCCGGACACTCGCTCTTAATTCAATATACTCGAAAATTATGATCAATATATTTTTTTTATTTAGAAAATGAATTCGGTGATATGTGAAATATGCCAGTCAGTATGTGATGGACTTTGCTCAAACTCTGTACAATTTTTTTTTTTTTTTGCTTTCAGTCCCGAGACTATTAAAGCTTCATCTGACGCAGAACCGGTGGGCTAGCCAGAACCCACGGGTTTGAGCCCTCCGCTGTGGGTAGGGCCGCGCATGTGCTCATGCGTGCGTTTAAGTATGGTATGTCATCTAAGGGCCATCGAGGTCGCGTTTTGGACAGAAACCCCGATGGCCGTCGACTGTGCAATTAGCTAATCGGTGGCTGGGAGCGGTGAGAACCGCCCCGAAACGCGGGTGTACCTTGTGTACGCGTTGTGTTGGTCTCGCCGTGCTCGGAGGCGAGGGCGAACTATTGTGTTTGTTGGTACACTAGCTGTAGGTGTAGTGTTATCCGGCGGGACCCCCGGCGGTGGGTCCGGAGTATCTAAGTCCCCTTCCTCGACCGGGTCGATGAGGACGTTTCGCGGGCGACGCTTGTTGACGTTCGCGTTTGTGTCGGGTTGGTAATTTGCTGCGCTTACCACCAGAGGGTTGGGATGATGTTCGGCTCTATCGAAGAACCGTTTTGTCAGATCTTTGAAATATTCGCGAATCGTCGGGAGTCTGCAATCGCTGTGCAGATCAACGTTGCGTTGATACCACTGCGCACCGGTTGCACGGCGGATGAACTTATTTTGTACTATTTGCAACTTGTACAAGCGAGTAGGGTGCGTGTGGGCGAAGATCATGCATGCGTAGGACATAATAGGTCGTACGCAGGTCTTATATAATAATAATTTGTGCCTTAAGGGCATTTTACTTTTAGCGTTAGTTAAATTGTGTAGCCGGCCGGAGACGAACGCGGCTCTATTACGAACGTTATTAATGTGCGTAGTAAATGACATACGCGAGTCGAAAGTGACTCCTAAGTATTTGACCTTTTTCTCCCAGGGGAGCGATTGGCCATAAAGGGATATTTGCCCCAACTTTCTGCATTGGCGAGGGCCATTATAAAGATGTGACGGGTAAGTACTTCGTGTGAAGTGGATCGCCACACTTTTTTCGGGATTTATTTCTATTCTCCATTTGCGGAACCAATCGCCGAGGCGGTCGGCGGCGCTTTGGAGTCGAGTGGTTAGTATTCTAAGGTTGCGGTCCGAATAAAAGAGCGCGGTGTCATCCGCGAAAAGCGCGAGATTGACGTGGGGGTCTTTGGGTATGTCGCTCGTGTAGAGCGTAAAGAGCAAAGGTGAGAGGCAGGAGCCTTGTGGTACGCCAGCCGTGAGGCGGCGGCTTGTGGAGAGGGTGCCCTCGACTCGATATCGAAAGGAGCGATTCAACAAAAAGGCCCGGATGGTGTGTACGAGCCTATCTGGCACTTTAAGTGTGTACAGCTTGTAAAGCAAGCCGTTGTGCCAGACCTTGTCGAATGCCTTTGCGACATCGAAGAAAAGAGCCCCTGTACTGATATGTTTCGGGTGGTTTAGGCCTTTTAGGATGTGCTCCGTCAGGCGGTATAACTGGTCGGGACAAGAGTGTCTAGCTCGAAAGCCGAATTGTTCCGTGGGCAGAAGGCCGTTGGAAAATACGTGCTCTTTGAGCCTGTTTAATAAGAGCCGCTCGTAGAGCTTCCCCAGGCAACTGAGGAGGCTGATAGGACGATAGCTAGAGGGCTGGTTGGCTGGTTTATTCGGCTTGCGAATGCCGATAACCGTGGCTTGTTTCCAGTCGTCCGGAAAGGAGCAACTGGAGAGTAGAGTGTTGAAAATGGTCGCCAGTAAACAGATAAGTGGCCCAGGGAGAGCTTTGAGAATTTTGTTACTGATCTTATCTGGGCCCGGGGCGGATTTCGGTTTTAAATTTTTAATAATATCTTGGACCTCTTCGGGGGTCACTGAACTTAAAGGATCGCCTTCCGGTGGAAGCGCAGCCCTAGTCTCGATTACACGGTCCACCTCCGTTAGGTGGACTGTATCGGTGTGTTCGCGCGGTGGCGTACATTGCTGCTCTAGGTTGTCCGCAAGGCATTCGGCTTTTTCGGAGTCATCTAGGGCTACTGAAGCGCTGTTAGGCTCTAATTAATGGCGGTAGAGATTCGCGGGGGTCTGCTTTCAGACTGCGGGCCAACCGCCAGTAGGCGGTGTGCGATGGCTCGATGTCCTCTAGGAGAGTGTCCCACGTTGTATGTCGGTGTTCCGATACACGATCTTTGACTTCTAGCTGAAGGCGTCGAAGTAGGGTTCGGTTCGATTCCGATCGGTATCGGTCGCAGGCGCGTTTGGCTGCATTTTTTCTATCTAATTAGCAGTCTTAGGTCGGGCGAAAAAATAAACCGTCGGTCGCCCGACAGTTCCACCGTCCGTTCCGAGTCTGTGACTGCGGAAGTAATGGTTTCTCGGAGACTTGCTATCGCTCGATTTGCGTCATCGAACGTAGATATCGTCTCGGGTAGTTCGATTAAGTCCTGGGGGTCCAAGGCCTTGAGTTTGACCTCAAGACGATGCCAGTCCACTACGGATTTGGTCGGAGGGACCGCGCCGGCGTTCTGGCCCAGTTTACACAGGACGGGCCTGTGATCTGAATCTAGTTCGTGGATTGTCTCTATCGACTCGATGTCGAGCGAGACCTCCTTGAATAACATGATATCTAGGATACTCGGTGTCGCATGTTGGTAGTTGTCCACCGTAGGATACCTAGTGGGAGTCGTAGGAGCGATTATGCTAAAGTTTAAATTATCGGATAAGCTAAAGAGATGCTTTCCGTTGTTATTTGGGATGCTGTGGATGTCCCATGAGCCGTGTTTGCAGTTTAGATCTCCTGCAATTATCACGGAAGGGCCTAAGTTGAGTAGCGTATCTAGGTCGCTTTGTAATAAGGTTTTGTTCCCCGAGAGGTAGGCTGAGACTAGTACAAGCGGCCTGTGGCCGGTGAGCGCTAACCTACACGCGGATACCTCTATTTGACTTAGCTCTGGAATGTCGAGCGGGCAACAGTGCAAGGACCGTTTATAATAAATTAGTGTGCCTCCCAGACGGTTTGCTAACCGGTCGTGGCGGACAATATTGTAATTTGCGATTCTGGGATCGCGTACACTAGGTTTCAAGAATGTCTCTTGCACTAGAAAAATATCTACGTTATAATCGCGAAGGAATTCCGCGATTTCGTCCCTTTGACCCTTTATGCCGTTTGCATTGAAATACGAAACAACCAGAGCCCGAGGTTTTGTTCTACCTGCGGTTGTACTTCCCATTAAGGTGTTTTTATGGGTCTAATTAACGACGCGGCGGAGCGCGGTTTTATTGCGCGGACTATTGTCTTTTACGGTTGGCTCGTAAAAGCCCAAAGGGCTTCCACAAGCGTTTTATGTTGGCTAATTGCCCTAAGACGCTCGTGGCCAGATGTGGCGGCCGCTATTTTAGCGGACAATACGGCGAGTTCCTGCCTATTGATCCTATCTAATAAGCTGCAAATATTAGCGATTTGCGCGAATGGGTCGTCCTTGTTTTCCGCGAAAACTGACGGAGTTGGCTGCACGTGCGGCCGCGGCGCCGTTTTGAGAGGCGGGCAGCTGTTGTGCGATCGGTCGTTAGGCGACCGGGATTACCGGCGCGGTTACCTGCGCGGCCACCTGGGGTTTCGTCCAGGCGTTTGTAACAGGTACGGGCGCGGGAATGAATCTAACGGGCGCGGGTTTGGGCAACGTAGATTTCGCGGGAGATTTCCTCGCGGGAGTTTTCGGGGCCTTAGCGCAGCCTCTGTAGCTGACTACGACTGTACCCAGACCATTTTTGTTCCTGCGGATTTCCCCCACTTTGACAGAGGTTACTGGGCATTCGCCGTACTTCGCGACAGCTTCAGCAACCTCCGTCCTCTCCGCCGCATCGTCTAGGCCCGATATGCGCAGATCAGCGCTTTTTTCAGGCCTGGAGACTAGGGCAACCTCGTCGCCGACCACTTGACGCAGCTTTTCAGCCAACAAGTTGGCCTTTTCGCCACTATCTACCCCAGGCACTTCCAGGATCCGCGCACCTGTTGCGGCCTTCCTAAACCGGAGGGCCTGGATTCCCAAACCCTGGAAATCGACCGCCGTTCTAGCCTCTTTGAGGATGTCGGCATATGTAACCCCCTTTGCCGCTGCATCCTGCTGCAGCTTGATAACTACAGCAGATGAGCGAGGGGGCCTAAGCTTCGGCATCCTCTTGTGCTCCTTTGACTTTCCAACCGGTGCGGTTACTTTGGGACTACTGCCTGACTTTTTACTGCGTCGGGTGACTAGCGTCCACTCGGATGGCGGACCAGATGTCATCAGCGGTGGAACACCGTTTGCAGCTTGTTTGGTAACATCTGGTTGGGATTCGCGTTTCCCGCCCTTCTTCTTTTTGCTCGTTCCTTCCCGCTGGATCTTAGGGCGGGATGGTCCGGGTTGCAATACTGTCCCGTCAGCTTCACAGGAGGTCTCCAGCGAAGCTGTCGTTAGAGCCTGCGAAATGCCGCTTGTGCCTGCCCTTGGAGTAGCTCTGAGAGCGGCC